TGGCTCCACGTCTGTCCATATGCTTTCATCTCCTCTTCACATGACCTCCTCCATGACACCCTCACACTGACGACCAACTGACTCGCCAATTCCCATTCGGTCGGGTTCCACCCGAGCGATGGTCTGTCTTGTGATGTCACTTGATGACTTTCTCTGATCCGTATAATAGCACTGACTTCACATTGGAGTTGAAAATCAGGATCTCATATTTCACGATGATTGCTGCTGATCTCCATACAGACTAGAAAGACATGAAAGCTGGGCTTGCTTTATCGATCCTCGCTTGGATATCCTCGTCAGTTCCGCCTGTAGTTGAAACGATGCTTCCCAGGTAGGTACAGGAGGTTGTTTTTGTTCAGGTTCCTCCCATTTGTGCTGATTGTTATCTGTTACTGTTGGCAAGGAATCTTCATCACCTCTGTTTTCTCTATGTTCACTTGAAGTCCTATCTTCTCTGGATGCTTTTTCTTCCAACTTGTTGCTTTTCACTTGCATATCTTCCAGTTTGTGGGAAATCAGACATATATCATCGGCGAAGTCCAGATTCTCCAAGTTTTTGTGTGAGTCCATTTTATGCCTGTTTCCTCGCTGCCCGTTATCTATCGCATTATCCAGTCTACCACAATCAGCAAAATCATTGGAGACAGTAGGCAGTCAGCCCTCTTACCCATGTCTTCAATTCGAAGGATTCCATGAGTTTCCCTTAGTAGCGAAATAGTTGCCAAATCACCTCTCGATCGACGCTGCCGATCAAGATAGTAAGCGTGATTTTCATGAATTGATTAGTCCAATGATTTTGAAAGTGGAGTTAGGTATATAACAGATTGATTGCCTACGAGAAGTTCAACATGAAAATAAAGAACTTGTTTAGCAATCATTAGTTTAGGTCATCTTTGACTTCAAAGAAAAAATCCAGCTATACTGCACAGATATCCAGACCCGAATTAGGTGGTTGCATTAAAATGTCAACCCCCACACCCTTGAGAGCCTTCGAGTTGAAGTCTGCCCCACAAGGCAGTGAAGTGGCGTCGCTGGATACATTCCCTCATGATATCCCCTGACCGATAACAGGTACATACTACATTCTGGATTCGTCAGCTCCATGTACAACCTAGATTTTCCAGTCCCCCAAGTAGGTAATCAACATGTCTACCAGTCCCTTTTTAAGTGGCACAAGTTCTCACTCATTTCACTTTTGTGTGGAACACTTCTGTGTGTGAAGGCAGGCAATAGTGTTACGTCTATGCAATGTGAAGCAGTTCGGTCCTATTGTGATGTATGCTACTGACAAGATTTTCTAGTAGTATATAAAGAGATGTTCGTTGGCATGAAAACTTCAAATAGCTAGGAGACGCATTTAATTTCAGAGAAGGTAAACGGTACAGTGTTATGGACATACATGAGAGACGTGTAAAAAGGAACACAAGATGAAGTCCAGAAGTATCATAACACGAAGATCTGTGCAAACTGTGAGTTGACGATAAGGTATACATAATTTAGCTATACAGAGGTACCGATTTCCAAAGAAATATTGCTTTACCAAGTCTTTCGTCTTCTTGATATCTTGATAAAACTCGGGCATTTGTGGTGGTAGAGTATAACTCCATTATGGATAAGATTTTATTCTGATAAATCACACAGTGTTGTCGTACAGTTATATTAACTGATGACGTTTCAAAAACAAGTTATTGCCACTTATAATCAGATCAAGTCAATCACTCACTCACACAACTTTCTTGTTTCATTTATACACATGGGTAAAATGATGATTAGTCATTTGGATAAAATCAATATAAGATAAAGTACATTTGGAAACAATAATATCATTGTTATCAATCAAATACAATCATATGCTAAATAACACGAGAGTTTTTATAGTCCAAATGAGCACAGTGTTAGAATGTTGTGATGTACGTGAATTGAATTGAAATAGAATTTTAAGATTATTTATTATCCTCTTCTGATTTGACTGACTGACTGATTGATGGTAATAATATCTTCCATGCATATCTCTGGTATTTGCATTGAGTCACTTCTATTGCACATGTTGTGTTGGGTGTAGACTCGATGAACAAGACAGGATTCAGTAATCAATCTCCCTCTATCTCCACGCACCAGAATTACGTTTTAGAATTTTGATTCTATCCAACCCACCCTATTGTGTGGTTGTGTATTAATGCATGCAGTACAATCGCTGAGCTTTTTTTTTAAATTACTTATCTTCGCGGGTGTGGTCAACCATACTTACCTTGGCTAAATTCGTATGTTCTCACAGACAATCTGACTACCCCGCCTGATCTACTAGTTACACCTATGTAGTTGACCTCACTCATAGTCATTGCAAGGTATTTTGTAAATTATATTTTTTATTTATTTATTTATTTTTTGATTTACAGCTTGATTCCACACTGTATTTTCGGTACAAGTATGGAATTTTCAGCATGGATATCGGAAGCCCAAATTTTGCAGGCCGACCATAGATATCAGGTGTGCGCCGGCGTGGGCTCGAACCCCGGACCATGTGCATGGTCGGCGAGAGTCCTAACCACTGTGCCACCGACGCACAGTTTTTATTTTCTCTAATTGAAACAACCGATAGGGTCATTTAGCTTACAGAGCTTGTTCTACCTGAGTGAGTTTGTAGGTTTGAATGCCGCTACCCCAATTCCTGTTTTATTAAAAATCCCAAGCGTGTGTGAAGGGCCTCAGATGCCCCCCCACCCTCCTTATACGGTGAAGCTACTGTAGATGCCTGATATTCGCTTCTACTGTTACACTAATTTTAGGGTTGAAGGCAAAACATTGCTAAATGCAGAAAATGTAAACAGGATAACAATTTATTGACCGTATGTACTTTTCTCCTACTGCCTATGCTTGGTGAGTAATTTCGAAATCACACGCGGAGCCGTGCCGTGTTGATTAAGCGATCTTTAAGCTCCATCAATTTCACGAGTTTGAATAGGTTCTTATATATATATATATATATATATATATATTCAACTACACTATTTCTTAAATGAATTTTTTCAGCTGGAGCAGCTATATAAGCTGAAAAAATGATACAGGGGTCAGGCCAGATAAAAGCATGGCATCGATCATCATCTTTGAGTTTTCTAGCTGTTGGATTAAGAGTCATGAAGTGAGAAGGGTGAGTTGTTTGAAATGGTTTTTTTTCGAAAAGATGCTGAGAATCAACTGATTAAAGATCTTTTGTGAAACATCTCGAAATCCTATTAACCATTATGTATCCAGAATTTTCATCATTTTATAATTGTACTTGTTTATAGCATTATCACATCGTATTCTTCTTTGACCGCGTTGACCGAAAACGTGGCAGATTTCATCAGATGCACATCAATCCACATTTCTACCATGACATCTTGACCAATCCGGTTGAAGCTATTTTTTGATGGACCAAAGGTGTTCTTGTTCAGAGATAAAAAGTTTTTCCATTTACCGGTAAACACAAGCAACAAGAGTCAGTCTGGAAGCTTAAATTCCTAAAGTGTACTAAGAAGCTAGCTGACCTCTTCACACTCACTCAAGCATCCTCCTTTTCCCGACCTACCACTGGCTGGTAAACTAGGCGAAGGTTAGTAGCAGTGCGCTGGACACGAGTCGAACCTGATAATCATGTTTGTGGCTGGAATTGATTCTCGACCCTCCCCTATAACCGGTAATAAGACCGGTAGAGAGGGAAGGTTGGAAGTGAGGCTAGCAGTTTCATTCTAATGAAAGAGGCAGTATGTGTTTATCAACTTCATATACCGACATGTTAAACGATGATGATTCGCAGCGGAATCCAGAATGAGCATTTCCTCCAATTTCGGAATCTTGAGCTAGAGGGAATCTGCATTCCCAATGAGTGAGTAATGCTGTTCCCCCTGAACTTTGAACCCTGAAGCCAGCGTTTTAAACGCCTTGGTGATTCAATGAACAATGGTTTGATGTTTTAAACAATAGGTGCAAGGATTTATTCTCCGTAGGATCAACTACTAGTCACAACCAACCAATAATAATTTTCAGTTTTGATCACGGATTAATGTCAGTTAGACAACCAATGATGACCAGGAAATACTGCACAGCTTTTTCGTTCTGGCGTGCGACCCACCGGCAGCACGCACACAGCACCAGGGTACTAAACCAAGACCTCCCGGTTACAAAGTAAGCTTGTAAACCATTCAGCCACCCGGGACTTGACTCACTTGGCCAGTCTATGAATTCTAACTTCTAACAATACGCGTGATTTTAGCGCGATCATCAGCTAACGTCACTGGCGAGTATTTGTCCTTACTACTGACCGGGTGGACTTCACTAGTCACGACTTCTCATTAGAACTCGGTGGATGCATACAGATGATAAGTCCCGAACTAGTACAAGACAGCTGTCCAGTACTCCCTGCTGGCTTTCAATGGTTCTTTAACGGGCATTAAGCTGTGATCTCACGGGAAACAAGCCGAATCCGTAGAAACAAAATCTCAGCAATAATAATTTCACGTCAACACGCAAACATCATTGAAGTGGTAGTATCACTAAGAGCTCACAGAAGAAACAACGAATATTAAATACGTCAAGAAAGACGCATATGGGACAACTCGAACTGGCACACATCTGTGCAAAGTAGTTCTATGTTGAAACTAGTCAGTCAGTCAGTCAGCCAATCGAGTTGTCTCCAACGATAGCGTTATAAGATGATTACACAGTCCACGATTTGAATCTCACTGCTCCTACGAATTTGGCCCAGAGTAACGACCTACTGTGTAAGTATCATCCACTCATGAACTGGAATATGAAAAACCTGTGTCAAGCCACTGAGATCTTAGGGACAAACGATAAATGCTTGCGTGGGAGGGGGTGGGTTGAAATTGGTCAAATAAACAAAATATTAGGCATAAGATAAAAATGAGATCAGATTGCAGGTTACTATTTGTTTATTTATTTCTTTCAATTGAACACATTCATATAATGTACATGAGATAAAATTGATGACTACTACTCACCTGTATTGGCTACAATTCGAGTCACTTTACATTCAGGTGAGTCAGTGATCTTGTCTGAAAGGAGGAAAACCGAAGAAGAAGAAGCGAGAAAACAATATAAATACCACAACAAAATAAACCAATAAACAAAACGATTATATAATTTCTTTAAAAACCAGAAAATTTCCAATAAATAATATTAGTTCATATCTGAATTCGATTTATAGGAAGTCAACTTCGACGGGACAATTTGCACATTTTTCAATAGCTACTCCTTTTGTCGCAGTCCAGTTTTCGACATAGAACTTGACACCCATGTGCTGAAGTTCAAGTCGACACACTCCACTCCTTATAGCACACAAACCAACAGAAGAAAGTAGAAGAAGTGCAAAATGAAGACAGTAGACAGGGAATGGAGACAAAAGGAATAGAAATAAAGGGGAACAAAATAGTTTCATTGGATATTATAAGTCACAAGAAGTGAACCAGCCATAAATGAGAACGAATTTGAGTCATATCCTCAACAATTGTCTACAGCCTTCATTGGTGTTTACTGTCCCACGGACCCCGACCACCTAATCAGGAAGTCTACACCTTCCTACGTGGCCGGCTGGCTGGCTTAAAAATTAACTGTTGTGGATTTCATTGACTGGTGAAGCCATGTTTTGGTTTGACCGCCACTAGCCTGATCCTATGTCACCTCACATTGCCTGTCGAGGAAGGCGATGGAGTCTAGATATAACATTATTCAATAAAGCAAGGATATGATGTTCAACCAGACTAGACTGGACTCAACTATAAGGAGAAATTCGGAAGAGAGATATACTGGTAAGAAATGAGTATTCGGAAAGGTGTTTATAAATAAGAAGTTTGGATAGCAAACACACTGGGTACGGGTGACACTGATAGTTCCACACGAGCAAGTGAATTAGTAGATGTCTACGGTAGCCAGCATTCGCTATCCAAACATATCATTGAACACCCGCCCTCATAGTTTTATAAAGGAGAAAAAAGATCCCCCCATGTGCCACAGCTATATCCTGGAACACCTGAACGAATTTGGACATCAAGCCAACCTACCCACAAAAGAACTTCAAAGTTATCTACAGAATACGTGATAACCTTACTAAAAGATTATGAATCACGCTTCTTCAAACCACAGAAGCAGTGGCGATTCAAATGTTAAATCCTGATGGAGTATACAAAAGGAGACAGTAGTCATCTTAAATCTATCTTGGTTACTGTTTTTATTACATTATTCCATTACGTGCCCAGTGCAACTTAAGGCTACAGTCTAGGGTAGTGCGGTTGCTAACCTCATGGTCAACCTTCCCTCTTTACCGATCGTATAGGCGACTTAGCGAAGTGAAGAAGTACAACGGCAAGGCATCGAAACCCGAACCATATGTGTGGTTGGCGAATACATTCTTACCTCTAAAGTCACTGATGCACACGTCCACCTTGATAGCAAACTTCTATTTTACTTTCACAATTTTTTCAAAGTTTTTTTCATTATTATTATTATTGTCATCATTATAATCAGTTTCCTCAGGATTTTGTGCGAATCCGAAAAATCATAGTTGAGTTTAAACTCGGAAGGGAATGTGAAAACTATCCAATGAGTTTAGATTAAACATGTTTATTCTCGTGTAGTTAACACATGTTCAACTTATTTATTTGTCTTCACAAAGGTTCCTTGTTGTCCCAATGTTCATGTGTTTGTATGTAATCAACCGTAAAATTTGAGTGTGTACATAACCATGTTTGTAGACTATTCTAGTTGACAAGTTCTACCCAAAATTTATGAATTCATTAAATGCTGCTTTTTTTCATAGTTATCAAAGTGTTGGTTCGCGGGATTTTAGGGTGGTTACAGGATTGATCATGAGCTGACAACAATTGGAGACCACTGTTTCACCGCAATCTGGGATTCTTCGACAGCACTCGGTCGCGGCCAGGGTTCGAACCCAGGACCTTCCGTAGACTACTCAACTATCAAGTCAGGCGAAAGGTTAGTTACCTGCCCGTGACACTGACCGGCGGTTGCGCTAAATATACATATCACGAACTGGCAGATGTTGAGATTTATGGACCATTACAGTCGGGTCCCAGTGGCTGGATCGTCTACGAGCTCGCCGCCTTGTAACCGGAGGGTCCTGAGACTGAACCCTTATGACGGGTGCGTGCTGTTGAAGAGCCCCGAAACACGACGATACAGTAGTCCAGTACTCTCAGGTTTTCCATAGTTGTCTGTTGGTTTTCAATTCAGTACGGGAAAGAAATGTTTTCAGTCATTACAAAGCGATAAGAGAAGAATTAGATCTTCTGTGATGACAGCAGTCTTTATCGAAAATTCACTGAAAAGAACAACAAATCAGAAATCCAGAGGCCCGACACATCAGTTGGTATCAAAATGAGACGTTCTATATGAAGCTTAAGAGAAAAATTCCAACATCTTTGAAAAGAACATTGTTTGTACCAATACTCCAAGAGTACTGTTCTCCAGTAGTATCCCACTAGTCTGTTGAAGCCTGAAAGTCGGATTTCATACCTGATCACTTGATCATGCACATATATCAATCAACGTGCTCCTGTCAAACCACGGTATGTAGGTTGTTCGATGCATAAACTGTCTAAAAAGGTAACAGCAGTTGTATAAGGAGTACAATCACTGAGCACGCCAACCGATACTTCTTTCAAAGTGACCTGCGAAGTAAAGAACAGCCGTCCAAAGAAATCTTTTCTTGCCTTCTATGGACCATTGAAGCCCAGGACATTAAAAAAAAAGAGAAACAGCAGCTCTGCATACCAAACAAGAAGCCTTGAGCATACTTTTTCCAAGAATAACGACAGCAAGATTCATTTCAAAACGTAGGAAAGTTACAATTACCCAATGCTGCGCTCCTACAAGCAATGCAGACCAAGAGATGGAAGAATTCTGAATACAACTGCAAAAAGTAATGGATAAGACCACAAGCTCGACTGTATGACATTAAAATCCTAATGGACGATATGAATGCTAAACTGAGAGCAGACAACACAAAAAGGAGCGAACTCGTCATGGGTCAGGAGGCTCTTAGCGAAGTCAGAGAGAACAGAAAACCGTTCGCAGATTTTCGCGCATTCAATGATTTGACAACCGGAGACAACGTTTACATGGGGGTTTCGCCAGATGGACAAACCAAAATTCCGAAAGACTTCATTTCGATATCAAGAAAATGAAGACGTAGTCTGGTGGACACAATATCGAGAGGAGGAGGAGGAGAAGATGTGGGAATCACACCATTATCTAGTGCAAGTAAATGTAAATTCATTCCATAGAAATATTTATTCAGTATCAGCAGAGAAATGATTAACACTTTTTAACTTACAAGTCAACGGTTTAAAGACAAAATGGAGTCTGAAGATTAACACGTTTAAATAGTCCACACGCTTTTAAATCAATTAAAAATTCGTGAATCAGGGCGAACCCAACCAATGTCGTCGGTGGAACATTCATCTTCACATGTGGATGGATGGACCTCACTGAGGTCACGACTTCTCACTAGAACTCCAGGAAACTCCATCCGATGGCAAGTCACTAGCCAGCATCAGATTAATTCTCTGTAGTTGGTTTTTGTACGGCTTAGTTTTGTTTTTTACGAGTTGGTCATGGATTAATATCAGTTACAGAACCAATGAAAACTAAATCTGGATTTCAGGACAGGTGTTTCACCCTAGTTTGGGAATCATCAGCAGCACGCACCCACTGGTGGGGTTCGAACCTAGGACCTTCCAATTACTACGCAAGCTAACTCGTATACCATTCAGCTACTAGGACCTGATTCAATGACCCATGAATGGTATACGAGTTAGCTTACCTGGTAACTGGAAGGTCCTGGGTTCAAACCCTACCAGTGGGTGCGTGCTGCCGATGATTCCTAAACTAGGACAACAGAAACAGCTATCTGACAGTACTCCCCTGGCAACTCGAACTGCTGCACTTCGGTGCCAAGTTCTATGTTGAATCCAGACAGACTCCCCTGCTTGTTTTCAATGGTCCTGTAACTGAGATTAATCCGTGATCAACTCATGAAGAAACAAAACTAATCCTTACAAACCAATTATAGAAATAAAAAATTACAAAAAGAAAATTCATAAACACTTACTAAGACCATCAGGTTTGGCATAACCACAACGTCGACGTGCTTCATCCAAGTCTTTCTGTAGCATTCGTAGACGTGCTTGTCGATCAACTTGACGCATAGCATCCAAAGCAGCCATACCACTAGTGTACGTAGGTCGATAATTGATAGTACTTCGAGAGAGGATATTAGGAGTACGTGAGTTGTATAGGCTAAAAAACAAATTTGCATAGAAGTTTAGCGTAGTTCAAGTTGCTTTACTTCATAAAACCACACATAAAAGCAAAGAAAATACACTGAAATATACGAAAGTGTAAGTAGACGAGCTTGCCTTGACACTGGGAGGTCCTGGGTTCGAACCCTGGCGGTGGGTGGGTAACACTAATGCACCCCAAACTAGGATAGTAGAAACAGCGGTCTGGCAGTCCCCCTTGCTGGTTTTCAATGGTTATCTAACTGATATCAATCCATAGTCAAACTCGAAAGGAAAATCAAATCCTTACAAATCACCTCAAGGAAAGCATAATCACATGAAGAATAATGAGAATTTAATAAATGTTGAGGCTCAACAGTAGGGTCCCAAGAGTGTGAACGCTCAAATGACCTTGAACGCTTGCTAGTCATTGGTTGAGGAAACTTACCATTATTCTAGCGCGAAAATGAACGGTGTTCATCTGCTCAGATGCAAATTTCACCCAGATCACCTATTTCAATACTGCCTGGATAATGAACTGATTGGACGTTCTCGTATATGTAGCCGTGGTGCTTCAATGAGCCTGCAACCGTTCATATCGACAAAACCGTCCTTATAAAGAAGAAATACAATCCGGGAACGTGATAGGGCAAATAACGTTTGGGTATTGGGGATTTACGACACCCAAATTCGAGAAGGATTTATTGAACTTATTCCAGATAGGAGTGTTGACACTCTTCTCCCTATTATTCAAAGACTCGTCTTACCATGCACTACTGTTAACACGGATGAATGGGCAGTATATATCCGATTATCCGATTTGGGATATATACACCACCGAGTTAACAATTCTGATGACTTTGTCTATCCCAGAACCGGTACTCATACTAATTCAATAGAAGGTTTCTGGGGAAGACCAAAAAATAGAATAAGAACTATAAACGGATCATAAAATCAATTTATTTTTAGTCACCTAGATGAATACATGCACAGGAATTGGTTTAATTTAAAAGCTGAAACTCCCCATTATAATTGGGACATCTTTTTACCTCATATTAGACAAAAATACCCTGTTTATTGTTTTTTCATGATTTTTTATGCAAAAGTCCTCCATTTTTCTGATTGGTCGACTCAGGGTCACTCGTGCGTTCGCATCCCTTGAGACGCTATTGTAGAACTTTGCCTAATAAATCTAGGAGACACCCCTGAAAAAGTAGATGTATTTGGGCCTTTGAGGGCAACTTAAGCCATGTCTCCAACAGTCTCCGTCCGTTGGTTCTTAGAGTCGAAACGATAAGGAATCAAGGGAATATTACTCACTAGTCAGATTAAATCACTCTAGGACTTTTTTTTAAGTAGTATGCAGTAAAATGGCGAAAAATATACCACATGAAATGACAGAATTATTTCTCAAGTGCAAACATATATGCGAAGATAACCCTCCTAGACCAATTGAAAGAGGCAGTCTACATTTTCTCTGTTCACACATGTCGGTACCTAGTACGGAGGCTTCAACGACGTCTTAAGAATATAAAACGGGAGGGCAGCAGTGGAATCAAGGATGCAAACTTTGCCTTATTTCAAACGCATCTGATGAATAAGCGATTCCATATCTAATGAGTCTGTCTGTCTGTCTGTTTTCGACATAGAACTTTGCACAAATGTGCGGAAGTTCAAGTCGCCACACTCCGTGTAGCATGCGAAGCAAGAGAAGAAAGTACAAGAAAAGCATAATAGAAACAGTGAGCAGAGGGGTGAGACAAAGGAGTAATCACGAAGAACAAAACAGTTTCATTGGAGATCATAAGTCACAAGGAGTGGATGCATCTGCGCCACTGAGAACGATTTTGAGCCATGTCACCAATTGTTTCCAACCATAGGTTTTTACCGTCTAATGAGTGAGTGAGTGAGTGAGTCAGTGTTCCCGATTAGGTTCGAACTCTATAAACGTCGTTTCAAACACTACAGCATTATAGTGCTAAGGACACGACATCCAAGAAAAATATGTATCAGTTATTCTTTTTGTAAATTAATTTGTATTGCTCGACTCCTGTGGACATCTCAGTTCCCATGACCTATTGGGTTAATGGATAAGGCTTCGCTATTTTGACGTGACAAGTACTGTGTTCGAGTGCTCAATAAGACGAAATGTGTATATTGGGCTCCACTGCTAAACAGCATCAACCGAAGTAGTCAATAGGCATTACAATAATAAAGACCACTCTTCTCACTATATTTATGAAACATTTCAACCTGTAATAATAGAAAGGTAAACAGAAGAATCTAACTACCCATCATTGTTAATAGCGATGTAAAAAGAGCAAAATATGTAGCAAAACCCCATCGCATACGACATCATTAGCTACCTACGAGTGCTTTTGTTCGTCATTAAAACGCCAAAGACAAGTTCACACTGTTAGTAACTTCAATGTGTGTAGTTATCAGTCCACCTGCGCTGGTGGAGTGAAGTAAACAAGGCATTGTTCCAGAGAATTTATGAACGCCTACCACTAACCTTATTGAAAGGAAAGAAAACTCAGAATAGCCAACAAAACATTATTACTTCTGGTTATACGCCATTCAGCATCATATACATATGTGGTGAGAGCTGTCTGCTAGCCGAAATTGTAATCAACAATATACGTCAATGTTTACGTCCCGAATCGGGGTCATGAGAAAAAACGCGAACAAAGACTATCCTTGAGGAAGTCAACAATCAATCACAGCAGACTTTGCGTGGGTGGATACAATTAACAGATATATTAACGGGCTGTTCAACAAACAGCAACAAAGAGATGACAGAATAACCTTCAGTAGGGAAACAACCAATCAGAAGATGTTGCTGCCTCCCTGCTAACAATAATCAACAATAATGTGAATAAAAATTTATAAATATCTTTCTATAGTTTGGTTTGTAAGGATTAGTTATGTTTTTACGAGTTGATCACGGATTGATATCAGTTAGAGAACCATTGAAAACCAGTATTGGAGTACTGGAGAGCTGTTTCATCAGTCTAGTTTGGGAATCATCGGCAGTACGCACCCACTGGGATTCGAACCCAGGACCTTCCGGTTACAAGGAAAGTTGGCTCGTATACCATTCAGCCACTGGGACCCGATTCAATGGCCAACCCATAAATTCTAACTTCTACCAATTCGTGATTTAGCGCGACCCCAACCATTGTCGTTGGTGGGACATCCATCCACACACGTGACATCTAATTGAACCTCACTGGTCACGACTTCTCACTAGAACTCAGGAAACTCCAACCTGTAGCAAGTCACTAGCGAGCATCAGATTAACTTCCTATAGTTTGGTTTGTAAGGATTAGTTATGTTTTACGAATCCCATTGGGTGCGTACTGCCGATGATTCCCAAAAACTAGGATGAAACAGCAGCTGTCCAGTACTCTCTGGTTTTTAATGGTTCTCTAACTGATATCAATCCGTGATCAACTCGTAAATTATAAATATCTGTTGATTTTATCAATAAACAATCTGTTGACTGACCCTTGTCTTCTGTAGTTACACATGTAAAGTAAGATCAAGCTGGTCAAAAGGATTTTACTGACATCTTTCTCATACAGCCGTAGCTCTTGTCATTCACCATAATGAAAAACAACCGAATCCAAGCAAAGCGGTAAGAAACATTTTATCTAACCTCCTACCTTCAATTCTTTGCATCCTTGTCACCTATAACAATTATCTCTAAATAACCATTCTTTACATAACTTAACTTAGTTGTAGACTAACTTTCACATTATACCCTATTAAAACTTCCAAATAACTGTACAGTTATGGTTAACAAAGAGAAGACATAAAGGTGATGACGATAGCCAACGAACTGCAACAGCACCAACCAGCACCAATCACCATCAACAGAAGAGATATAACAGATGTTGTCTCCTTCACTTATCTGGGAAGCATTGTTTCAACTACAGGCAGTCGGAACGGACGAAGAGGTCAAAGTCAGCCAGAATCGGAAGGCAAGATACACCTTCCTCTTCTGTAAGGGTAAGAAACTTGTCCGTCGTGTCACGAAAAGGATCTTCAACAGGCCATTGTAGACCTTCATCAACAGCTGCCCACTTCGCCGGCTGGCTCCATCCTGAACATCAAATTGCCGGTCAGAAAGAATAAGCAACACGAAACTATGGGTACAAACCAACAGGCGAGAGCCGATCACTCAACAAATTTGTAGGAGAAAGTGGAGATGGATCGAGCATACACTGAGAAGGCCGCCGACCCTCGAATGGAATCCCAATAGGAGGAGATGAGCTGGTTTTCGGTGCGAGGGTGACGTGGAAGAGATCGTGTAGTGAGGGAGACATAAGAGAATTTCGTCAATCCTGATCCCAAATGAAGAGGACATCAGAGAACAGAACAAAGTGGAGATGTTCCACTCGGAACCGACGGGAATAATAATAATGATAAAAATACGCAAAAAAAAAACAAAGTATAAGAGAGAGAAAAAAATTATATATGATGAAACATGAGCAACACTAACCGAGTTGTATCCACTAGTGAAGGATTAATTCCAGCGGCAAGTAATTGTTGTTGTTGCTGTTGTAATAATTGCATTTGTTGCAGTTGGAATAAATGAGCTTGTTGATAACTTAAACTCAAGCGTTTCTCTTGTTCATAACGTTGACGTGCCATACGTTTTTCTACACGCGTTAAACGATAATCTTTACGATCAATCAATAAAGATTCATGGGTAAATGGTCGCTGAAATAAGACAAAGAGAGGAAAAAAGAAGGAATATCATTCTTCTTCTCTTCTTAAAAATAATTCATATAAGATGCTGAGGAGAAAAAACGATATACGCATGACAGGGACTTGGTAAAACAAAGCCTATGCGTAAATGTCCAAAAAATAAGGATTGAATGATTGATTGATCACGACGCTGAACTACTTTGTATAGATGTGCATCAGTTCGTAGTGCCACACTCCCTCCAAGTAACACATAAACCAACAAAAGAGAATAAAGGCAGATAATAAACAGAAATGTGAGTGGTGGGGGGGGGAAGAATAGTCATATGTAAGAATATAGGTGTAAAACTTGGGCACTGTGCTGGCAGAGTATAACTCCATTATGGATAAGATTTTATTCTGATAAATCACACAGCGTTCGTTGTACAGTAATATTAACTGATGACCACGTTTCCAGCACAAACTATCACTGCTCATAATCATATCAAGTCAATCACTCACTCACTCACAACTTTCTTGCTTCATTTATACACATGAGTGAAAATTGAATAAAAATCACCACTATCAGATAAAGTACATTGATCAAATATTATTATTGATCAAATACAATCATATGCTAAATAACACGAGTGCTTTTATGGTCAAAATGAGTACCGTGTTAGAATGTTATGATGTACGTGAATTGAATTGAAATAGAATTTTAAGATTATTTATTATCCTCTTCTGATTTGACTGACTGGTGGTAATAATGTCTTCCATGCATATCTCTGGTACTTGCACTGAGTCATTTCTGTTCCGTGTGTTGTGTTGAGTGTAGACTCGATGAACCAGGCAGGATTCAGTAATCAACCTCTATCTCTCTTCATCTGCCTAGATTACTTTTTAGAATTGTAACCCTCTCCCACCCACTTTTTGGTGTGGTTGTGTGTTAATGCATGCAGTGCAATGTAGTGCTGAGCTTTTCTCTAAATTACTTGTCTTCGATGGGGGTCGTCCGTTCTTACCTCAGCTAAAATTCTTATCTTCTCACAGATAATCTGACTACGCCGCCCAACCTACTAGTTTCACCTATGTAGTTGACTTAACTCACAGTCATTGCAAGGTATTTTGTAAATTATATTATTTTGTCTAATTGAGTCAACGACGGGGTCCTTTAACTTACAGAGCTTGTCCTACTTGAGTGAGTTTGTAGGTTTAAATGCCACCACCCTAATGCCTGCTTTATTGAGAATCCTAGGTGGGGAGGGTCTCAGATGTCCTCTTCTTATATGGTATACCAGTAGATGCCTTATATTCTCTCTCTCTTATTTATGTTATCACTACTAGTTTCACAATTACTTTTATTTCGCTTTTGGCCTTTACTGATCTTCCTAAAGAATTTTATAGGAGAGTTAGCTATTTGATACCAACGCTTCTTCTATCTGTTTCGTATCACCGTTTAGGTCTTTTCAGCGAAGTTAAACTTTCGACACCACTAACTACCAATCAGCGAATTATCCAATGAAGTTCATGAACGCAGTTCAATGTTGTATAGTGCTTGATTCATTTCTAATGCGTGACCTTACAAGGCTACTGTTGCAATTCGAGGCGGTTAGTGTTTTCCTGGATTTCCTGGATTTCAGTTGCTCCGGAAAGAGCGAATTTGTTTGTGTGGTGGTATCATGACTTTAAAAAGCTATACCAAATCAACTGATGGGTTTGTTCATTGTTGTGCTATATGTTTGAAGCTTTTTTTTCTATAAATATACATTTCCATTCATCATATGTGCCTCTTCAATGTGATTGGTCCGTTCAAGGTCGTTTGCTGATTGTTTGTTAGTGGTGGCTAAAGTTTAACTTTGCCGTCTTTTCTTGTGCTACTTAGTGCTACTTCTCGGTTTGTTAAACACTTAACTAAGCCTGCCTTAACAGTTATCGGATGAGATGAATTAAAGTCGAAATATCTATTAGCAGAATGCGTTAGGTTTCTATAAACGCTAGTGTATAGTTTACCTTCTTCTGTTCGTTTTATTTTACAATCTAACAGCATAGCTAATTCTCCTTGTTCATTTATTTTCTGATTTAAATGTAAATTTTATTCCCTCATATGGAAGAATAACTGGGTTCTACAAAATGTCAAAATTCACAAAGAGTGAATGCATCTGCGTCAGCTATCACATAGGAAGACGATTTTGAGCCATATCATCCACCAACTGTCTCCAGTCTTCATTGATTCCTACCATCCCAAGGACCCCCAGTCACTAAGGCAGCCAGTCTACACCTCCCAACAAAACTGCGAACACAAATATCATGTTTAGTCTTTTGAATACATGACTGATTGCTCAAAATAAAATGAGTTAAGTACTACTTGTGGATAATTTAGCTGAACTTCTCAACATAGAATTACGCACAGAAATACACCAGAATTCAAGTTGCCACATTCCATGTGGTGGACAAAGGTTGGTGTAAAAGAGACATAAAACGATATTCAAAAGAACAATAATAAGCAGAGACGTGAGGGAGATAAAATAGTAATACGGGTTCAACGCATCTGGGAGAACAATTATCAGTCATATCACCATCGACAGTTCCAAACCATTGGTTACTAGACGTCTTGAGAAAAGTTGACAAACAGCTTCCAGAGACATCACCGACTGGTTTGATCATACCTGACCTAATGCATACATCAGCTAACATAGTTCGCTGTGACTGCGCATACGTAATACATGTTCCTAACCATTTCAACCGACGTACCTACCTTCACAACTGTATCGATCGACTTTCCTTCCTTACCTAGTACTCTACGAGACTAAACTCGATACTGGTCAATATAATTTGCCACTCAACGTGGGAAGCATAATACTTAAGAGTTAAAAAGTTCAAAGAGACTGACTTTACTTCTCCCAGAGAGGGAGAGGGAGTTACAAATCAACATGACTGTATGGTATCGGATGGTCTAACAACGACTAGTGAATGCTCCAGAATTTCGATGATGAAAAGCGAATACATCATTATGATTGGAAAGAAGTTTACGTCATTTAGCGTCTCAAAGAACTCAAATGAATTAAATGAAATGTTACTAAATAACTTAATTGTATGTGGCGCCGATGACACAGCGGTAGAATAACCACACCTCGAGTGATTCGAAGGTCGATCCCCGGCCGACAAACTCCTTTACCTCGCTAAGCCAGTAATAAGACTGGTAAAGAAAGAACGTTGGGCATGAGGCTAGCAACCCAATCCCGTAAAAATAAACATTACCGCTACTGAAACTTCAAAGCTCTAACTTGAAGTCGTATGTTCAACTGGGAACCTACAGGAATAAAAAAAACCTAAATGTAATTTCATGCAGTTGGCAATGAGCCACACACCTATGATGTGTGTGTGTGTGTGTGAGGGCTAGCGATACTACTCAGCTGACAAACCTCAGGAAAAGTGGAGCGTGTTTTGAATCCATGATTCATTGATTGGAAGACAAGCACCTAGACTAATAATGGGTAACACAGTTTCACGAAAGATTCCCCCCCCCCTCAAGAAAGACTTCTTTGAATAAATAGCTCACAGTGAGGAAACCAATCAAAGAGCACATTTTCTGCAAGTGAGTCATAATATTACAATTCAATCTTTTACAACAAAAGGCTAAAAGCAACTCGTATATAGATATGAGAAACAAGTATTTTTTTGGTGATGCCATCATAAAACCAAAGGAAACTATTCATAAACTATCAAGTACCAACGATTTGCAGGGATTTGACTAATTTCTAGTTAACTTTCATCACAAAGCGATATCGGTTAGAGAATTGTTACGAACCAGGAATTGCTGGACACCAGTCGGTTTCGGACCATGTAGCAGTACGTCTCCATGGCCCGACAGATAGCTACTAATTTAGATGCGGTTGTCCGGATTGCATGCAGCAATCACCCGACTCGCTACACACCGGTTGGCTGGGAATAGTTTTTCTGCACATTCTACCATGCCAGGAAGGTCCTTTGAATGGTGACTAGACTCAAACAAGCCGTGTGTAACCGGCACCAAGCACTTCTTCCCGAGAGGTTCCGCGTATCTCAGATATGCAAAGAGAAAATCAACGTGTCCACAGCAGCCAGGAATTAACAAGTGTCTAGACACTCCCATAAGCATAGAAAGAGTTTTCCGGATCATAATCTAGTCACACACACCCCCCTACACGCCACTGGCGGCTGGCCGGTTACGTGCTACGTTTAACCTACAATGAAATAATCACGGATACACGCACTTCTGAAAAGTCTCCAACTAGGGACAAAATAGTTATACTTACTTTTGTTATCCATTTCGCGTGCTTTTTTAATACATCAGTAAGTATTGGATCGGGTTGAATAATATCTTCACATTGTTTTAAGTCTTCCTCTGTTATAGTCTCCATGTCTTTATCTTCAAAAGACATTAATAGTTCAACTTGAGATCGGGTAAACTGTTGACTTGGATTCAATTCATCTACAACACGATCTGACATACCCTGTTTAGTTACCTATAAGAACAAACAAAAAAGAAAGAAAGATTGATTTTCAAGTATTGGTTTTGTAGGGATTTTGTTTGATTACATGGAGGATTTAATCATGAGCTGATATCAGTTAGAGAACCACTGGAAAACCTGGGAATACTGGACGGTTGTTTCGTCCTAGTTTGGGACTCCTCAGCAGTACGCACCCACCGGGGTTCGAACCCAGGACCTGGTTACAAGGCGAGCTCGTAGACCATTGAGCCACTGGGATCCAATCCAATGGTCCTGGAATTCCAACTTCTGCCAGTTCACGACATAGCGCGACCACTTCGCAATGTCTTCTTCGATGAGTTACTGACTCATCTTCGACCTGCTGTACCCTATTGATTTATGATCATTAATCAGATGCTCACTAGCAAATGGCCGTATTCAGGTAGGTAGATAGGTAGGTAGTTAGTTACCTGGGTTCTAGTGAATGTCGTCACCAGTAGGGTACACAGCAGGTCGGGTGTGACGACAAATACTCGTCTCCGATGACATTTCCTGGTGGTTATGTCATATCATGAATTGGCAGAAGTTGGAATTCATGGACCGGTTATCGACCAAAGAACGAGTGTACTGCTCATCAGTCCGCTCCGTCCTCGTTTATGGCTATCAGTGAGATATGGTCATTGAGAGTGGAAGACACGAAAAGGCCGGCTATCTGTCTTTGATTATAGGTGTCTGCATTCTATCTCCAGTGTGAACTGGTATAATAAGGTGAGCAATACTGAGGTGAGGCATCGGTCGAGTGGTAAGTAAGGAGAAATCAACAGACGAGGCTGTGAAGCTACATCGACGGAGATGGTTAGAACATGTGTCGCGCATGCCTAGCCATCACTTGCCTTCCTCGAAAATGGGACATAGAGTCTGACATAGGATCAGACTGGAAAAGAGCTAGAAGATGGAAGTCAAACCAAAACATGGCTTCGTTCGTCAGTGAAATCCACAACAGTTAGTTTAAGCCAGCCAGCCAGCCACATAGGGAGGTGTAGACTTCTTGACTGACTGGTCGGGGTCCTTGGGACGGTAAGAACCAATGAAGGCTGTAGACAATTGTTGAGGATATGACTCAAAATCGTTTTCAACGGCTAACGCAGATGCATGCACTCTTTGTGACTTATAATTTCCAATAAAACTATATTGTTCCCCTTTATTTCTATTCCTTTTGTCTCATATCCCTGTCTACTGTCTTCATTTTGCATTTCTTCTACTTTTTTCTGCTGGTTTGTGTGCTATAAAGAGTGAAGTGTGGCGACTTGAACTGCCGCACATCGGTGCAAAGTTCTATGTTGAAAACAGACAGACAGACATCAAATGGCCAGTACTAGGAGCCAACTTTTCAACACAGGCACGGAACGTTTCCGTCCAATATATATATATTCAGTTAGCGACAAAAATACACAATGAACTTGAACACGGATCTTCGTGCGTCGGTAGCACAGTGGTTGGGACTCTCGCCGACCAAGCACATGGTCCGGGGTTCGATCCCCTGCCAACGCACACCTGATATCAATTGATTGGCCTGCAAAATTTGGCCTACCGATATCACATGTTGAAAATTTCATGCTTGTACCAAGAATACTGTGTGGTTTCAAGCTATAATCAAAAAGAAAAAAAATAGTTCGAAAATATATAATCAATTTACTATTTATTTAAATAAGCCGCAAAAGAAAGAAAAAAGGAAAAAACAGACAAGTGAGAATATCTATCTGAACACACCACTCACTTGACGATCATAGATTTTCTTCTCCATTGTATTATCTGAGACAAGACGATAAATATAACACGGTTTCACTTGACCATAACGATAAACACGACAAACAGCTTGACAATCATGACATGGATTCCAGGAGGCATCGAAAACAACAACACGATTTGCACCAATCAAGTTGACGCCTAAGCAACCAGCTCTGGAAGCAAACGGACGGACAAACATAGTGATAAAGTATATACACACATACATGCACATACAGACATCTGTAATCCATAGGTTATGCAAAAATGCACCTCTAAGAATTATTATTATTGTGTTTTGTCTGAGAAAGTACTGCTATATACCTATTGATAATAAATAATACTAGAAATAATATGACATCATTTTGACAACCGATAAGTGCAAAATTCAACAATAGCGTCCCAAGGAATGCGAACGCACGGATGACCTTCAGCCGACCAATCATAAAAATAAGTGACTTTCCCTCACAAAATGACGTATATTTACAAGAAAATGCAATGAAAACACATTAAGCAGGGGCATCTTTCTCTGAAATGGTTTAAAGATACGTCCCAGTTATAATGAGGAGCGCGTCAGTTGCTAAGTTAGACCAGTTTCTGTTCATGTATTCACCGAGGTGGCTAAAGATGTGAATTGTTTATCTCCTTTATCCTCTTGTGCAATCTTCCCCAAAAGCCCTCGATTGAATTACTATTGTTTCGAGTAAGAGGACCGACGACTATTTACCAGGAAAATGTGGATAACAAAATAAATTAAAGTAAACGACATCAACCCGAAATCTACCTCTAGACTTGACCTTAACCTCAGTCCTGACCCTAACACTAAACATAACTAACACTAACCCTAACCCTAATTACAACCCTTATTCTAACAGTAAACCTAACCCTAATGCTAATTATAACCCTGATCCTAACCCTAACCCCAATACTTACCTTAACGCCAACAAGCTGTTAACATATTGTCCAAACATTACTTAAAAACATGATCTGAGTGAAATTTGCTGCTTAGTCGGTGAACAGTGTTGATATTTCAGCTATGATATTGACGGTTGTATTCAAGGTCATTGGAGCGTTCGAAATCCTGGGACGCTATTGTTGAACTTCGCCCCGATAAGTTCGTGTGTTTCATATTTGCTGATGAAATCTCCTGTTTTCGAGAAAATGTAACCGTTGTGTATATATCAAATAACAATCAATATTCGTAGAATATCTTTTATGTGCAGGAAAGAATCACTAGACTCTAGCATTTAACCATATCAGGCGGAAATCAGCAGACTCGCAGTGAAGGCGAGAATGCAGGTAGAAGACAGAGGTGATGATTCTGATGTGGTTGTGTTCTCTGAGATGGATAGTTAATTTGCGAAGCTTTCATCACACTACTAGGCGACATCATCAGTGTATACTTCAATTTGAATTGAAGTGAGCTTTTATATTTCTCCACGAGTTTATTAGTCATCTCTCCTGGTGGGTAACCTGGAACGTCGTGATTGGTTGTTTTTGTGTTTCCACACCTTCTATGCTACTTGTAGTGGTATTGGTGTTGATTGTTTGCTCAACCTGAAGTTTGACCCTTTGTATGTGAGATTTCCTTCTTATCGATTGGTTAATGTTGTCTATGTCAGTGTGTCTATTGATTGATGATTCACCGGAATACCAGGCTTCTAAAAATTCTCTAGCATTCTTGGTGTTTCCTCTGTCTAACATTTGAATGTTAGTTGTCCTAGTCGAATTGATGTCTGTGGTTGTCAGTATGCAGCAAGGCGATATGAGTGATGGAGTGAATGTCATGTCTTTTGACGGCTAGTTAGTTTATGTTCATGGATACGAAGAAGGAAGGGACGTCCACATTGGCCAATGTAGTTTTTTTTCGCAGTTGTTACAATTTATTTTGTAGATGATGTTGGTTTTATCTTCTTTTTCTTGTTGAGTCTTTTGGTTGACACAGAGCTGAGTGAACTGATTTTGTTGGTTTTTGTGCAACGTCAACTCCTAAAGGTTTAAAGAGTCTAGCAGTAGGGTGATTTTCTTTCCTTTCGCTTTCCCTGGGGCCTTTGCTTTGACAGGTTGGCTTGGGGGTATAATACAAGATTCGATGAAACCCACCAAAGGGGGTAAAATTAAGATATCTGGGCATAGCCAAGGCACTAGCTATCCAAAAACTCGAACTCACGTTATGTATCCAAAAGAAACACCTCCAATCCTTGGCCCTGCCGTGGTCATCATAAACAGATAATTCTTCTAATAGTGACTATCCCATTGACTTTCTTATCCAAACTTCCTGCTAATTCATGTTATTTTAGGTTTTTCTCAACCCCTATTTACACTACCATATTTTCATGTCCGACTTCCTGTCAATTTTGTCATTTTATTATTTCTACACATTTAATCCCTGATCAAGGACCGTGAACAGTGGTGGCTGACAAAGGCAAAAGAGATGGAAAAAGCATCGGCGATAGGCAACACTAGGCAACTCTTTAGACTCATCAGGGAAACGGGTGGGAGAAGGCAAATCATAAGTGAGACTATTTCTGAGAAAAATGGCTCCTTAATTAGCTCTCAGGATAGACGCCTTGAACGCTGGAAAGAACACTTTGAGGACAATTTAACTTGCCTACAGCCACACTGAACCTCCCCGACATCCAAACACACCCGAATGGGATATAGACACTGGTCCGCCGTCTGTAAGTGAGGTCACAAAAGCTATCAGTAATTTGAAACGAGGCAAAGCGGCAGGACCCGACGGAATTATTCCGGAGGTGTTTAAATATGGGGGTGACATACTAGTTTGTAGATTAACTGAGGTACTAGGCAAAGTCTGGGAATCAGAGACAGTTCCATCAGACTGGGGTAAGTCACTTATTATACCGATATTCAAGAAGGGAAACAAGTCCTCGTGTGATAATCATAGGGGGATCAGCCTAACGAACATAGTCTCTAAAATCCTAGGCTCAGTAATCATGCATAGACTAAGCAGAACTCGGGAGGAACAGACAAGGGAAAATCAAGCAGGCTTTAGACCAGGTAGAGGGTGCATAGATCATATCTTCACTCTTCGACAGATTCTAGAACATAGACACACTTTTCGGCGTCCAACAATTGTCATATTTCTTGACTTGAAGGCGGCCTTCGACTCCGTGGATCGAAAGGTACTATGGCAATGTCTGACTGTGAAGGGAGTGCCAAGAAAGTACATTGCACTAATCAAGGCACTCTATTCAAACTCACGTAGTCGTGTAAGGGCTTATGGGGAATTGTCATCTGAATTGGTAACAACCAGTGGTGTCCGACAGGGATGTCCACTTTCCCCATTTCTGTTTAACTTCATCATAGATATGCTGATGGAAGTATCCTTAACTGAACGTAATGACTTAGGAATCGACTTGTTACCAGGGAATAATCTAATGGACTTAGAATATGCAGATGACATAGTCCTGTTAGGGGAGGATGCTGACAAAATGCAGAGTCTTCTGAACACCTTGAGCAGCAATCTTCGTATGTTTGGCATGCGATTCGCCCCTGCAAAATGTAAGATGCTGCTACAGGACTGGACCACGTCAACTCCTAACTTAGTGATAGGGAGTGAAGTGATAGAACATGTTGACCACTTCACCTATTTGGGAAGTTGTATTAGCACCAACGGACTGATTGGCGATGAAATCTCAGCACGGATCCGAAAAGCTCGAGCTGCTTTCGCTGACTTACACCATCTCTGGCGTAGGCGTGACATCCGGTTATCAACCAAGGGACGTGTGTACTGCTCATCAGTTCGCTCCGTCCTTCTCTATGGCTCTGAAACATGGCCAATACGCGTTGAAGACATGAAAAGGTTGACTGCTTTCGATCATAGATGTCTGCGATCTCTGTCTCACGTTAGGTGGTTTCACAAGGTAAGTAATGTTGACGTTAGGCGTAGAGTGTTGGGCAAAGAGGGAAAATCAATCGACGAGGCTATAAAGTTACATAGACTAAGATGGCTAGGTCACGTGCTGCGCATGCCTAACCATCGCCCCCCCCCGACGGGCATTGCTAGCTGATATAGGTGCAGGTTGGAAAAGAGCCAGTGGTGGCCAAACAAAAACATGGCCTCATCAATCCATGAAATCCTTGACAGTTAAACTGAGTCAGGTAGGGAGATGCAGACTTCCGGGTTGGGGCCCTCGGGACTCTAGGAATCAATGGCTGGAGACAATAGGTGACATGGCTCAAAATCGTTGTCAATGCCAGCGCAGATGTATTCAGTCTCTGTAATCTTTCATATTCCTTTCTACCATTACCCATTCTGTTTCACTCTTATACTTGTCAAACTCTATTGATTCTCTTCACTCATCTTCTTGTCTACCTCTGTGTGCTATTTGGAACGTGGCAACTCGAACTGCTGCACTTCGGTGCCAAGTTCTATGTTGAATCCAGAGAGAGACAGAGAATCCCTGATTGCATAAACAATTATTCGTCACATTAGTTATGATCCGACTAGATTTTGTAATCCAAAACATTCTGTCTATTTTTATTATTTCTACATTTCTAACTCTCAACTACACAATACGTCAATCATCTCATTAATTATGATGCTACTTTGTTTCAGTTTTATCCATCCCCCTGTTTATTATGGCATTTTAATTCCTAATTGTAATTTTATTAATTTGACCCATGACGAGAAATTATTCCCATCCATCTGTTATGAATACACGAATGTACAGCTATCTAGTTGACGGTGACTTCGTTGAAAAGAAAATCTTCGCTGCAACCGTCTTTTTAATAATTCCTATGATCCAATGTGTTGCACATTCCGTGGTTAGAACATCGTCTAGGAGGATGAATGATAGCTTCGCCATTAACTCAGAGAACGCGAAAACACCAACACTACCAAAAAAAAACATCCACGTGATTAATTATTTTTATATATGTATAATTTAGTGAACATAAATGGTTATTATTATTATTATTACTATTCTGAAATCATCTTTTATAAAACTTTGCACGACAGATGCGGTAACAACTGTCATTGGTGAAAAACTACAACATCACGTCCCCAGTTACACTCGGTTCGAAGAGGTGACATTTCTCACCAGTTTTCTTTGAAAACCGGAATTATTCAGATCACACAACACATCATTTGTCCGCAAAACCATAAATGGTAGTCATGGTAATGGCAAGTGCATCAGTGCATGACTCTACATACTACTGATTGCTTGGGATGACGACTAGTTGTATATCACTCATATCGGGGACAGCTGATGAGTTTGGGGGCTCCAAAACGAGTGAAACAACCATTTCGGTGTTTAGATCACTTTGATATGGTTGGCTGGTTGACTAATAAGCAACCATTGCTTGCTTAATATGACTGGTATTCAACTTATCATTATAATCGATCAGTAGTATGGGGGCGATGGGGGTGTGGAAAGGATTACGATAAGTAAGTAGATAAACGTTTTAATACTTACCTAGTTGACATAAGAAACAATTTCGCTGGATTATTAGGATCATTAAAGTTATTAATGAGTTTTTCACGTTCACTTGCATTTGTACTACCGTCTAAGCCTATCGGTAATAAATAATAACAACACAGAAACAACAATGAAATGATGATTAGTAATGTGAGATAAGGCTCAAAACTGAGTGATTTATGAACAAGAATAAGTCAAGTGAAGAAAAAAATGAAGTCACTAGAATTTCGAGTTTCGAACGGACACTGTCTGTCTGTTTTCAACATAGAACTTTACAACACCGACGTCCGGCAGTTCAAGTCGCCACACTCCACTCCTTCTAGCACACAAACAAACACAATAAAGTTAAGAGAAATGCAAAATAGAGTAAACAGGGATATGAGACAAAAGAAATAGTAATAACCAAGAACAATATAGTTCCATTGGAAATTACAAGTCACAAGGAGTGGATGCATCTGCACCAAACATTGAGAACGCTTTTGAGCCATATTACCCAAGGATTGTCTCCAACCTTCATTGGTGTTTACCAACCCGTGGACCTCAACCAGCTAGTCAGAAAGTTTACATCTTCCTACATGGCTGGCTTAAACTAACTGTTGTGGATATCATTAACCGATGGAGCAACTTTTTGGTTTGACCGCCACTAGCTAGCTCATTTCCAGCCTCACCTTATGTCAGCTAACAGTTCCCATCGAGGAAGACGATGGCTAGGTCAGAATATATAACACATGTCCTAACCACCTCAGTCGATGTGGCTTCACAACCTCGTCGAGTGGTTTCTCCTCTTAATCTACCACTCGACCAAAGCCTCACCTCAATATTGGTCACCCTATTACACCTAACACCTAACACGGGGGACTGAATACAGACGCCCATGATAAAAGACAGCCGACCAGCTAACCAGGCTTTTCATGTCTTCCGCTCTCAATGGCCATGTCTCGCTCACAGCCATAAATGAAGACTGATCGGATTGCTGGGCAGTACACACGTCCTTTGGTCGATAGCCATCTGTATGTCACGTCTACTAATCCAGAGACGGCGTAAACTGACTTATGCGAAACTAGCCCTCTGTATGCGTCCTGAGATTTCGCTAGCGATCAACATGTTGAGGTTGGCTGATGCAACTTCCCAAATAAGTGAAGCAGTCCCTATTTCTAAACTAGGAGTCAGAGTAGCCCAGTCTTGTAAGATCATCTTACACTTGGCGGGAGGGAATAGCATGTTAAACAGATTGCAGCTCAAGTTGTTCAGAAGAGTCTGCTCTGTTTTGTCAGCGTCTTAACCTAGGAGGGACGACTATATCATCTGCATATTCTACGTGAACGAGATTATTCCCTGATAGTAACAAGTCAATCCCTGAGTCTCTGAAGAACACAACGTAGGGTTAAGTCCATTAGTGTACATCTATGATGAAATCGAATAAAAATGGGGATAGTTAGCATCTCTGAGGAACACCACTAGTCTTCACTATATTTTACCTCAGTTTCTACCCGATGAACACCTTTCATATCACGTTAATGGTTATTCAAAAAAGTCTAAAACTCAAATGACACATCTTCGAACATATTCGTTTTTTAAGAAAAGACAAACCCAAATTTTCCTGTGTTAGTGGGCACAGCGGTTAGGACGCTAACCAACCATGAACATGATCAGGGGTCCGGGGTTCGATCCCCGGCATACTAAATTTAGACTACCAATATCACATGCTGAAAATTCCATAGTTGTACCAAAAAATAAGAAAATAAAAGAAATTTTTCGCTTCTTCAATGACTTCATTTTCAAGCCAACTGTACAGTTTCATTTATATTACCGATAAAGGCATTATTTAAGTGGCGGCACTAGTAATTGCTCAGTCAATATTGGCACATACGTTAATTAAAATGATGTACTAAGGGAGGGCGGGGTGGGGGTAGGTAGACTTGAAGTGGATGAATTACAAAACTTTTAAAGATTATTTAAATTAGTGAATTGGGTATCAAGATTTTAAAAATAGTAAGTCAAGTGCTGTCTTAAAAATATTAAGAGTACAATGATGATTACAATAAAGACGGAAAAGATGAAGTGAGGTGGAATGAATTCAAATGGTAAAATAGAATAGAAAAAATAGAATAAAAGAACATCTACAATATGTGCGACTGAGCAACTAACAGTGCCGCCACTTAATGCCTTTTTCTGTAATATAAATACGATTGTACAGTTGAATTTAATTGGTAGACGGTGACTGACTAGCAGTGGAATCCAGGATGCGCATTCCGTTCTATTTGGGACTCGTCAACCGGATGTACCTCTACATTCCACAGTGAGTGTTGATGTTGCCACGAGGCCCGGACCCAGTGCCCATAGTTTCGAACGCCTCAGTGGGGACATCATTACTCACTGTGCAATGTAGAGGTACATCCAGTTGACGAGTCCCGAATAGGACGAAATGTGCATCCTGGCTGGATTCCACTGCTAGTCACCATCCACCAATTAACTTCTAATTACATGCTCAAACATCGAAGCATCTGCACAAGAAGCCGACATGTTAACCTGAGACCGAGCACACTTCAGTCCAATCAATCGACGGGAAAATCTAAAATTGAATTAAACTACTACTACTACTACCTACTAAAAACAACAATAGGCATATAAAAGACATTATGCGTGAAACAGTTCAAGTTTAAAAGTACACTTCAGAGGGGCTCTCAAGTCTGTGTGGAGATCAACACTCAGCACTCAGCATGAAAAATAAGATCCGGATTTTCAACTTTAATGTGAAGTCAGCGCTACTTTATGGATCAGACTTGGCGCGTCAGGAAGAGCACCTCTAACAAACCACAGACCTTTAATCAAAAGCTGTCTCAACTAAATACTCATGATCAGTTGATTGGCCAGGGATCTCTGGGAGCGAGCCAACCCAGCAAGCATCGATCATGCAACAAATAAAAAGGAAGAAACGGAGGTGGATTGGACATTCTCTGTGAAAACCAACCATCAAGTGAGTGACATCACACGCCAGGCTATCGCTCGAGTGGAACCCAACTGAATGGGAAGTGGTAAGTTGGTCATCAGTGCGAGGGCGACATGGAGAAGGTCATGTGGACAGACGTGGAGGTGGATGAAAACGTTGGCAGAGAACCGAACGCAATGGAGACGTGTGGTTGAAGCCCTCCCTATGTTCCTCTAGGAACTAAAGGAAATAATAATAATAATAGACGGGCTGTTAGAATTTTAAAGAACAAAAACTCTGAAAAAGTCGGTTAGTTTAAAAAATAAAACTCACGGAAATAATGAACATTTCGTGTCCAAACAGTTGGTTCATCACAACGACCACGTCGTGTTGACAGTCTATAATGTAAAGATCTCAGAGTTTCTTCTTCCTCTTCATTCGCTGCCGCTTCTCCTTTCAATTCATCATTTCCTGAATCCTCCATTTTCGTCGTCTGCTGTGGTTGTCGGTCTAAATCCCCTGAACATTGATTATGATGATCATCGCTTGAATTTTCATGATTGTAGAAAGCAGTAAATTCATCAGATAGTCCAGATTTATTGGTATCTTCCGGTTTCATTGACGACGAAGAAGCAGTAGATGATTCATTCTCACTCCTGTCTGATTTACCAGCAATTGGCAGCGGCAGATGACGTAATATACGTTCTAATAAATCCAGTGTGTATAAACTTTGTGTGAAAACTAATAATTTATCACCGGCTAGTACACTGCCTTTTAGGATATCTAAGAAGAGGAGAACCTTGCCACTGTGTTCTACATTACCTGATTGAAAATTTTCACCCCATAATTCTTGATCACTAGCCCAATCGTATGTTCCAACAGTGGCTTGATGGGATGAAGTGATTTGATTATAAAAATATCCCAGGTTCGGAGTAGTAGTTGGTGTTGTTGCTGTCGTTGTGTTCATCATCTGTCCAGGATTTGGTTGTGTGCCAACAGTTGTAGGCACAGAAAAATGAGGATTCTATGGGAGAGGAAAAATTTTCAAACAGAAAACGAAGATATAAAAGTGTAGTATTAGTACATACAACGCAGGCTGGTATTCTGAAACAAAAGAAATAAAAGTCCACTAGATAATTACAAGCATACTTATTCACATTTGGCAGCTTATATGTTTGAAGGCAGTGACGTTCAAAGGCGATCTTCTGAACGACAGCTTAGAGCAGGAAATATCAAAAGCCCCAAAAAAAGAACATTCTTTGCTGCTACATTAAGATTGGTTATCTCCTGCTGACACCCACCCCACCCCACCTCACCCAATGTTCTTCAACAACTCTAAAGATTAACTATCTCATTTGGTGACTTCTAAGTATCACTTTCCCCCCCCTGGGAGTCAAGGAACATTATCCTGCTGCGCCAGAGGAAAATCAGATTGGATCAATAAAGAGTACTACAATTGAACATACATATTCAACACTGGTCACTCACTCAGTATGTAAGGTGAAATCATTCAAAGTCATCCACACAGTCGAAAGAAGCCTTTCAAAAAAACGATATGTTTTACTATACTCAGCATTGACGAGATCTCAGCGATTCGGCTGGAAAACCCTGAGTTATGTACACAGAAGAAACTTCACCATCCCTTCCTTCTAACATGGGTAATAGCTCCATGTTCAACCGTTATTAATATTTAGTTAATTTATACTATTTTGCGTATTCGAGCTACCTAGAATGGTGGCCACATTACAAACCTAACTGACAGAATTCAGTCTGCACCAAAAGAAAGGACTAGGCACATCACACTAGTTACTCACTAGTGTCCAATCGAAATACCTACTACAGTCCTACAGATCAATCGCGAGCTCAGTGGTGGTAACGTCTCTGACTGTAGCCCTCACAGGGTAATGCGAGTTCTAATCTCAGAAGGAGGGACATGAGTCCCTTCAAGGTGGTCGCAGATATGCCTGATTTGCTGACTGGTGAGTGTCACCAACTAGCACGAAACCTAAGTAGTCCAAGGCTTCCTTCCTGTGGCCGATAGCGCCTCCAATCAACTAATGTCATCAAATCAATATGTACCGCGTGATGGCGAGCAACCTAGTGGAATGCTGGCCACATTGCAAACTTGGCTGACTGATAGAATTCAGTCTGCACCAAAAAAAAGGACTGGGCTAGACACATCGCACTAGTTACTAGTGTCCAATCAAAATATTTAAAAACTTTATTTCCTTGTCTAAACTTTCTATTTACTCTTTTCACCTACTAAATAGTTTATTTTGAAACTTATCTTCCAGCTATTTCATCATCAATATCCAATCTTTTCTGAATGTTTTTTTCTTGATATTACGCAACCACCTTAGTCTGAGCTTACAAATCTTCACATACACACATGCACACATACCATAAGTTACAATTTGCTTAGTCATCACTGTTTTGAAATATTTTGATAATGTAAACAATACTCTGTACTAATGAATTTCTATTCTTGTGCTCCATGTGTATATGTACGCACACACAAACACATGCGTATGCAGAAATAATTATGTATAGTTGCGATTCTACAACTGCTAATTGAATGAATTCACTCAAAAAAATACTTTTCGCTGAACTGCTTGTTTTTATTTATTTTTTTTTCATGAACTCAGTTAACCGGAAGAGATTCTTCATGTGTCAGGGGGTATGAACCACACCCAATATGTGTGAAAGATGAAGTAGATACACTCGGGACTCGGGCACAGAAGTTAACCACTAGCTGTTACCCTGAAGTATGATTCATGGAGACTCAACTCAGGCTCGTAAATTGTAATCCCCCTACCATGACAAAAAAAGTGTCTTTTGGACACCGATAGACGAAAAGCAGTTATCAATATGGTGTAAGTTGTATCAACGGTGAAGTGTTCCCCGCCCCCCACAGATTCACTAGCATGTCTGCTATGCTGTCTCTACGCTTTGAAGACAGGCGGTTAGAAACAGATGATCCCGAAAATAGTACATTAGAGTACTGACATTGCAGTTAGTCGTAGCCGGCAATAAGATCTTAAACGAACGTAGCTCCAAAAACCACTTCAAACAGGCCTTAAGCAGTTGTTTTTGGGTGCTATGATCACCCCCAACACTAATGCTCCTTTTGTTTGAAGTCAGCCAAGTGTTAGACTCTGACCCATTGGTCCAGATGCTCGACTTCCAACCATTGGATCGAGGGATCGAACCCCACTCCACCTAGGTTAAATTCTTAGGCCAATGAGACACGTTTGCATTTTGGAATCAATCACGTTTATTCAGAGAGTCAGTGATAGTGAATGTCTCATCAACCTCCTGGAGATGAAGAACTTGGTTCAAATAACTTAACCACCGGTAATAAAACTTACACACAAGCAACAAAGACGGAAAACAACAACAAGTGTGATTTTCAAAAATGTCGAAAACGTTCTGCAACTGACGCTGCACTAAGCAGTTTTAATTTTAGAGGCAACACACAAGATTTTTGAATAACATTTCTAACCTGTGTCATAATAAGGTAATACTACTGACTGCCTTAGCTTCAATACAAAAATCATAACGGAAGTGTAAAATGTTAACACACTCCATGTATCACACAAACGTGAGATAAGAATTCAACAGGACTATATTGAACAGAAATGTACAGGGGGTAGAAAGAACAGTAACATGAAAAGCAATGAGGTTTTAATGTATCCCAAGGACCCACACATCAGGCAGTCTGCACCTCCCTATGTGAACGGCTGAAACTAGCAGTCAAGCACTTCATGCATTGATCTCATATTCTGCTTTGATCACTCCTGACATTGCTCACTGAGGAAGATGATGGCTTGACGTTTGCAATCTTCACCGGTGTGGCTTCACACTGTTGACTGACTACTCAACACACTCGACACCTAATCTGAGCATTAATCACTATATTATACCACCTAACACGAGGGAGAGAACGCGAACATCCGTGGTCATATCTTCCAATCCCACACACAGCCAAAAAGTGGGACGCAGACAGCTGGATATCCACGTCAACACCAGAAATGGTGTAAGCTGACGAATACCGCACAAGCCTTTTGTATCCGTGCTGATAATGATGTGTCATCAGCAATCAATCAGTCCACAGGATCTTACATCAAATTTATCCAAATAAAAAACTGGAAAGAAAATTCAACCCACCTGGGGCATATACGCTGTCGCCATTGACATAGGAGACTCAGGCACGGAATACACCGAGTTATTTGCTGAAGTTGACATATGACTACTACTACTAAGCGTTTGTTCAGATGACATTGAATTCGAATCTCCACCAATCCAAGATTGTTGTGGCTCATTCTGATTGGTTATTATTGACGCTGTACTATTCGACCGGTGATATGGTCGACCGCCGCCAATGGAAGACATTGAGTTTGGATTACTAGTATTAGTACTGTTGTTGTTGTTATTATTATTATTTGCCGCCGCTGCTGCTGCTGCAGAATCATCTATATCGAAATCCATTGCTTCTTTATGCTCTTCCATTGCACGACGTAAAATATCAGGATGATTCCATATCTAGGTAGAAAAGACAAGATGAAGGAATGAAAAGTAGACTGCATTGTTTCAAGTTATCACACAAAAAAACTTCAGTATCAGATGAATAGACTATTTCTCTACAAAAGGTGAGTAACCTTACTAATAATACGGCAAAGAAAACTGACTGTTTACAGCTAGATTGATTAAATCAACTGGATTTTTGATCCCGATTACTAGTTAGTCAGATTAAATTTCTTTGGAACTTAACTTGTTAATCGAAGGAGATAAAAATCAACAACCAAATTAAGAGTACTGCCTAGTTCATGGGTGTAGACAAGCTGAAAGAGATTAGACAGAGGTGATGAAGACACCCACTAACGAACAACGATAACAAGTACATATCATCACCAACAGGAGAAAGCTAAAGAAAATCAGCACTTTCACTTATCTAGGCAGTGTCCTTGTCTGTCTGTTTTCAACATACAACTTTACACTGATGTGCAGAAGTTCACGTCACCACACTCCACTGCTTCTAGCACACAAACCAACACAAGAAAGTAAAAAGGAACGCAAAATAGAGACAGTACACACAGTAATAACAAAGAACAATATAGTTTCATTGGGAATTAGAAGTCACAGGGAGTGGATGCACTTGCACCAGCCATTGAGAACGATTTTGAGCCATATTACCCGACCGAAAGCTGCTACCTTGACGTGGTGGTCGGGCTTGAACACCGCAATGATCGATTCAAGCTATACTGGCTGAGACTTATGTCTCTTGAGGTCCTACCATGCCAGGCAGGTTGTTTGGATAGCGGTTAAACAAAAAGCAGCTACCCAATCCAACATCATGTCCAATACAAAATCACAAAATTTCATGCCGGATCGGCCGTGGCCCGGATTAACAACGACCGCGCTTCCTGCTGCCGTGTCACAGGGCAGGAGTGATAAATATGCTACTGAGACACACCAAACAAAAGAGAACAAACAAAAACAGGCCGCGTGTGACCGGCCTCAAGCAGTTGTCCCCTGGGCTCTGCGGTCACGCAACCAACTTCCACGGTGTGGGCAGCCGGGAAGTAACAATCGCCCTCACAATCCGAAATGCACACGAAACCTCTCTATTACTCACTCATCTTTGTCTTCATCTTCATCTCTATCATCTTGCCTTCCTTCCACTGATGCAACTCCTCGACTTGATAGCTCTCCACTTCCTCTCCACTCTGCGTCCACTAAAAACGATGGAAGCCAAAAAACCACCACCGACAGCCTCTTAAAGCCGCGCCACCAATTTCATATAGGAGCTCTTAATGTTAGGACACTTTGCCAAATAGGACAACAAGCATCACTAGCCAAGACCCTGGCATCACGAGCCATTGATGTATGCTGTGTTTCAGAAACACGCATACAAGACCCAAGTGTGGTTATTCACCTAACCCCACCTGGCCAACAGGTTGAATCTGCAAAATTCACCTTGAGGGTGTCAGGAGATGCCACAGCTAGTTCACGAGGATTAGCTGGCGTAGGGATAGCTTTGAGTACTAGGGCAGAAAAGACATTGCTTGACTGGATCCCGGTAGATAGCCGAATGTGTGCTGTCCGCCTGAACGGATCAGTAAGAAGGAGGAAGGACTGCACTACTCGCCGATGCCTTTTCGTAATCTCCGCCTACGCCCCCACTGACTGCAGTTCAGATGAAACGAAGGATGAGTTCTACCAAAAGCTGTCTAGTTTGGTGCGAAAGGCTAAACGCTCAGACATAGTCGTTCTAGCTGGTGACTTTAACGCTCAAGTAGGGAAATTGTGTCAATCTGAGAAGGATGTCGGTGGCACCTATGGAGTTCCGTGCCAGCGAACCGACAACGGTGACCGTCTCCTACAGTTCTGCTCTGATAATCATTTGTTTCTTGTAAGCACTAACTTCAAACACAAGGAGAGACACTGTTTGACTTGGAGACCCCCTTCATCAAACCAACGCTGGACACAAATAGACCACATAGCAATAAGCTATCGTTGGCGTGGGTCGGTAGGAGATTGTCGCTCCTTCTGGAACACGTGCGTAGATACCGACCATGCACTGGTCCGCGCTCGGGTGTGCTTACGACTGAACGGACGTAGGAAACAGCTGGCGGTAAAACCATCACGTCCCCAGCTCGATCAGGAAACTAAATCCGTATTTGAGGAAGAACTAGCTAAACACATATCTGTGTTCGACAGCTGTGCTCACCCTGAAGAAGCTTGGAAAAATATCCAGGCAGCCATAGATACAGCTGTAAAAGCTGTGAATAAGGTAAACCCAAAGGTGAGTAAAAACCACTGGATCTCCACCGCCTCATCCGAACTGATAGATGCTAGAAGACTTATTCCGGCGAGCTCCGAATTCAATGAGGAGCGAAAGCTGCACAAGAGGAAACTTACGAAAAGTCTCCGCAAGGACCGTGAACAGTGGTGGGCGACAAAAGCCAAAGAGATGGAGAAAGCTTTGAGGATAGGCAACACCAGGCAACTCTTTGGACTCATCAGGGAAACGGGTGGGAGAAGACAAATCATTAGTGAGACAATCTCGGAAAAAAATGGCACTATAATTAGCTCACAGGATAGACGACTGGATCGTTGGAAAGAGCATTATGAGGAGCAGTTTAATTGGCCCACAGCCACGCTCAACCTTCCGAGCATCCAACACCTCCCTGAATGGGATATAGACACAGGTCCTCCGTCACTAACTGAGGTTACTAAAGCTGTCACCAATCTGAAACTAGGCAAAGCAGCGGGACCTGATGGAATGACTCCAGAGGTATTTAAGTACGGTGGAGACAGCTTACTGTCCGGATTAACTGAGGTACTAGGCAGCGTCTGGGAATCAGAAGAAGTCCCATCGGGTTGGTGTAAGTCACTGATTATCCCCATATACAAGAAGGGAGACAAGTCTTCCTGTGATAATCACAGAGGGATTAGCTTGACTAATATAGTATCTAAAGTCTTAGGCTCAATAATCATGCGTAGACTGAGTGGTGCTCGGGAAGCACAAACACGAGAGAGCCAGGCAGGCTTTAGACCAGGAAGAGGGTGTATTGATCATATCTTCACCCTCCGACAGATTCTAGAACATAGGCATTCCTACCGGCGTCCAACAGTCATTATATTTCTTGACCTAAAGGCAGCATTCGACTCTGTCGATCGGGAAGTTCTCTGGAGATGCTTGGCTGTAAAGGGAATTCCGAGAAAATATATTGCACTGATTAAGGCACTCTATTCGTACTCATACAGCCAGGTGAGGGCTTACGGCGAGCTGTCATCTGAACTGATGACGACCAGTGGTGTCCGTCAAGGATGCCCATTATCTCCTTTTCTATTCAACTTCATCATAGATGTGTTAATGGACTTAACCCTAGGTGACTTCAGCGACTCAGGGATTGACTTGCTACCGGGAATAATCTCGTTGACTTGGAATATGCAGACGATATAGTCCTTCTAGGCGAAGACGCTGACGAAATGCAGAGTCTTCTAAACACCTTGAACAGCAATCTACGAATGTTTGGCATGCGATTCGCTCCCGCCAAATGCAAGATGATGTTACAGGACTGGACTACATCGACGCCTAGTTTAAAAATAGGAAGTGAAGTGGTAGAGCACGTTGACCGCTTCACTTATTTGGGAAGTACCATCAGCCCCAACGGGTTGATCTCTGACGAAATCTCAGCACGAATACAAGGGGCTCGTTTCGCATTTGTTAGTTTACGCCGACTCTGGCGTAGACGAGATGTTCGACTATCGACCAAAGGGCGGGTGTACTGCTCATCAGTCCGCTCCGTCCTCCTTTATGGTTGTGAGACCTGGCCACTGAGAGTGGAAGACATGAAAAGACTAGCTGTCTTTGATCATAGGTGCCTGCGTTCTATTTCCCGTGTAAAGTGGCATAATAAGGTGAGCAACATTGAGGTTAGGCGTAGAGTTCTAGGTAAACAGGGGAAATCAATCGACGAAGTCGTGAAGCTACAAAGACTGAGATGGTTAGGACATGTGTTACGTATGCCAAGTCATCGCCTCCCTCGACGAGCTATGTTAGCGGATATAGGGTCAGGCTGGAAAAAAGCTAGCGGCGGTCAAACAAAAACTTGGCATCAGTCAATGAAATCCACAACAGTTGGTCTAAGCCACGTAGGAAGGTGTAGACTTCCAGGCTGGGGTCCTCGGGACGGTAAAAATCTATGGTTGGAAACAATTGGTGACATGGCTCAAAATCGTTCTCAGTGGCGCAGATGCATCCACTCCTTGTGACTTATGATCTCCAATGAAACTGTTTTGTTTTTCTTTATTACTCCTTTGTCTCACACCTCTGCTCACTGTTTCTATTATGCTTTTCTTGTACTTTCTTCTCTTGCTTCGCGTGCTACACGGAATGTGGCGACTTGAACTTCCGCACATTTGTGCAAAGTTCTATATCGAAAACAGACAGACAGAGACATATTACCGATTGTCTCCCGACCGATGGCTGCTACCTTGACGTGGTGGTCAGGCTTGCACGTCGCAATGACTTCACAAGACACGCTGCCTGGAACTACTGTTCCTGCAGGTCCTACCATACCAGGAAGGTTTTTAGAATAGCGATTCGACTAAAAGCAGTTACCGGCTTAGTGTAAGAATTTTTCCTTTTTACACTATGCTGGGGGTCTGTGGGCGAAGTTGTACTGCTGTGGGGAACAGGAATGAAACAGCCGCAGTAAGGTGTTTCCGTCAGATGACCATCATGCCAGCCAGCTATGCTGTCTCTCCACTCTGGAGGGAGAGAGGGGGTTAGAAAAGGTCCACACCAACAATTGTACATCCCGACTTACCCCCATCTGGGGTGGTCCGTAACCGGTGGTAAGTTTACTAATATGGAACCAAACGAAGAAACCAGTTCACATAGGCCAGCCTCAAGCAGTTGTCCCCTGGGCTCAGCGGCCATGCCAACACTAACCCTCTTTCTGTTTTCAGGTGCCTGAAGAATCAAGCAACTTCCACGTTTGGTTGGGCAGCAGTCGTGAAGTAACAACAACCCACACACACTTCCAAGAGCACACAACGCCTCCCCGAGCATCATTCTCCTTTGCACTTCCACGGCAATAAGTATCCTTACAACCACAGGGCGTCAAAGCCAGTATCCGAAAGTTAAAATAGGCATCCATTACGCAGAAATCACACTAGAAATCCACCTCCACTGCTCAGTATAAACAACAAGATAAAGATGTTCAACACAATTGTTAAGTCAATCCTTTTATATAACTGGTCAAACCCTTGGCGTGCACATCAGCAAAAAGCATTTCAAACAGGCTCAAGACTTTCTTTCATCAGTAAGCTGACATTTCTCTCTCCATACTGAAGATCACATGGCTAGAAAGGACAAGAGATACGGATATGAAACACTGTAGTGCAAAGAACCAACAAAGAACCTACTGGCCAACAAATATGAAGTGTGACAACCTGAACTCCTACACTTCAGTGCATAGGTGTCTCCACCGAAAACTCAGTAGTCAGTCAGTCAGTCAGTCAGCAGTTAATATCATGTTGCTATTTCACAATACAGGCGTCGGTGGTACGGCGCCGTTAGGACGCTAGCCGACCATGCACATGGTCTGGGGTTCGATCCCCGACTGACGCATTGCTTTTCCTCAATAAACCAGTAATAAGACTGGTAAAGAGGGGAGGTTGGGTATGAGACTAGCAACCCCATCCTGTAAAAATTAAACACTGCTACCGAAACTTCAAACCTCTAGCCCGAAGCCCTATGTTCCACCGGGAACGTGAAGGAATAAAAAAAATTTCATAATACAAATTCAAATAAATGCAATTTCTAAATGTAAAAAAATAAAACTGTATAATTGAATAAAATACCAGCTTACTTTACAGCACATTGCATACGTCTTCAATGTATTCACTTGAGCCCAACCGAGTGGACCACTTGAGCCTAGACTACGCATAAATGCTGCATACAGTGTCCTTTGTAACGGGGATAATTTAATCAACAGAACAATTTCTGTTTTTGGCGGTAGACTAGCCTTGAGAACAGCATGTGAACGTCGTTGTACAAAACCTGACAGTAGATCATGCAGAACATGTGCCCGGCCTTGCATCACTTTACGATCTTCTGGTGTACTATCAATACACTGACCATTTTCAATAGGTCGTTGAAACATATTTGTAAATTCTTGTTTTGTGCCCAGATAGTTAGGTCGAACAAAATCAACCATACACCAATATTCCATAAGATTATTTTGAAGTGGATACCCAGTGAGTACTACACGTCGACTGTAAGAAGAAAGTTTTTTAGAAAGGAAATATGATAGAATTATAAGTTTTTACGAGTTGATCACGGATTGATATCAATCAGGGAACCATTAAAAACCCCCAGGGAGTACTGGATAGCTGTTTCATCCTAGTTTAGGAATCATCCGCAGTACTCACTCACCCACAATGGTTCAAACCCAGAACCTTCCGGTTACTAAACAAGCTGGCTCGTATACCATTCAGCCACCGGGTGGCACCCCTGATTCAATGGTCAGCCCATGAATTCCAACTTCTATCACAATTCGTGATTCAGCGCGATCCCAACAAATGTCGTCGGTGGGACATCCATGCTCACACTTGACGTCTGAATGGACCTCACTGGGGTCACGACTTCTCACTAGAACTCCAGGAAACTCCATCCTGTAGCCAGCCAGTCACTAGCGAGTATCTGATTAATTTCCTATAGTTGGCTTTTGTAAGGATTAGTTTTGTTACTTTACGAGTTGATCACGGATTGATATCTTTAGCTGATCAGTGGGGGGTGGGGCAGAGGGGCGAAGTTAGATGTTACTTATTATTAAAGATTTATTCATCAGATTACCACTTACTGTGTTTTAATCGCTTTTAAAGCCTTTGATATAGACGCTTCACTGTTTTTAATTCGATGACCTTCATCACAGATAACAAGCTGAGGACCGGGATCCAGAAGGGCTGTATGAAAATCTGTTAAGTTATGAGAGAGAAAAAACAGTAGCAAATACAATGATAGTCGAGAGGCAGACGAGAACGCATACAGACACTGTAAAACCGACAATATTAACTAACATTATCCAATAAAAGATTGAACAAGTGAAATTATAAAGGCTATTGCAAGCATCATGCAATGTTTCTTATGACGTAAAACACTAGGAACAAGTTATTCAGTGAGATTTTGACGTCAAGAAAACCTGTTACTAATAGGTGATTTGTACTCCAGACATAGAAAGAAACATTTACAGACACTTCTTAGATGGCTGTGAAATATACTCGTACTAAGGACTCGAGTAGAGTATCAAATCAATGCGCTTAGACCACTGGCAACTCGGCCACACGTTATAGCCTAACATAAAATCAAGTTTATTACGGAGAACTAATGGCTTGTGTCATGTTTTGGTTTGACCACCACTAGCTAGCTCTTTCCTAACCTGACCCTATGTCAGCTAACATTTTTCCATCAAGTAAGGCGATCAATAGCTAGGCATACGTATTACATATCCTAACCATCTCAATCAATGTAACTGCACAGCCTCGTCTATTGATTTCCCCTTTTTACATAGCACTCGACGCCTAACCTCAATGTTGCTCACCCTGTTATACCACTAGCTAACACGGGGGACAGAACGCAGGCATCTATAATCAAAGACAGCTAGTCTGTTCATGCCCTCCACTCTCAATGGACAGGTCTCGCAGAGCCATAAAGGAGGACGGGGCGGACTGATGAGCAGTACACACGTCCTCTGGTTGACAGCCAGCTGGATATCACGTCAACCAAGTCAGAGATGGCGTCAGTTGGCAAATGCCAAACGAGCCTTCTATACCCGTATTGAGATTTTATCAGTGACCAACCCCACAGGCCTGGCTGATACCACTTCCCAACTAAATGAAGTGGTCAACATGCTCTACGACTTCACTCCCTATTTCTAAGCTAGGAGTCAGTGTAGTGTAGTCCTGTAACATCATCTCACATTTGGCGGAATCGAATAGCATGACTAGGGTTAATAAGACTTGTCTTATTTCTTGCAAGCGTGTTGATTGAAGGCTACCTGGGGTCCAAAGTGAGGCACAGTCACCCAAATCGAGTAATATGACACTACTGTACCTTGTTGTTTCATACTCCAATCTCGTTTATATTCAATGTTACACTCCAACTGACTCTGGGAAATTAAAAGGTGGGGGAGGGTTAATTAGTGTCGAAGCCAGCGATTTTAAGATTCATCCAAAACATGGCGGTCGTACTCTAGGACTTAAGGACGAGTTAGTTGATCACATTACATCACATTCATTGCCAAAAAATCAAAGAACAAACAATGAGAAATATCATTAAAGCATAAATTGATAAAATCTGCGTAGGGAAGGGGAGGGGGCAGGAATTTTCAGATGGAACTGTCTCCTCATAATGAAATTGGAACTGGTTCAGTGGAGACAGACAGACAGACAACCAGACACGTTGAATGGAAATAAACCTGATATGGAAATGAATAAATAAATGACACACACAGACGGGGAGGAAATAAACACAAGTAGAAATTTTAGGTTTATAAAACAGTTTACCTGCCCACATTTTTTCACGTTTCTCCTCCTTTTCAATATCAATACAAATTTCTTTTTTTCGGCGTTTAGGCATTCGTACATCAACTCTTGTAGTTGTGTATAATGAAGGTGGATTCAGACGTTTTTGATTTAAAAGTAAACGAAACATTTCATAGCCTAACAGTAGGACACCGCCTTCTTCAAACCATTGTTGAATAATCTTTGTACAACACAAAACAAAAGAAACCAGATTAATTCAGTTAAAAAGTGTCAAACTAATTGATAGAAGGCTAACAAAAACAACAACAACTACCACCTATCATCACTGTAAACTAGTTTGAACGAGTTAGAGTTACTCCGCATGGATATGATTTGTTTTGAGTTTGATCAGGAGCTGACATTGGTAAGGGGACCACCAAAGAAGAGTCCCAGAATGGGACGAAACAGATGTCTAGTACTCCCTGGCTTTCCAATGACTACACTACTCTAACTGATGTCACCTAGGGATAAAGCTTGAAAAAAATCAAATCCCTACAAACTCAGTTCGAGTAAGAAGTCGTGACGAATGACAAGCGAGGACCACCAGATCGGCGTGAAGAGATACTCGCTGATCATATCGATTGGTGGTTGAGATAAAACCACGAATTGGTAAAAGTTGAAATTAATGGGCCATTGGATATAGGGTTCCAGTGCCCCAACAGTCTACGAACTTGCTTTGTAACCAGAGGGTCCTGGGTCCATCCAAACCCTGGTGGGTGTATGCTGCTGAAGAGTCACAAACAGATACAACACATCTGTCCAGTACTCTCTGGTTTTCCAGTGGTTCTCAAAATGATGTCAACTCATGATGAAACTTGGAATAACTCCGACCTGTACTTACCCACTTTGTGAGGATCACTTATAATACTTGTCTATTCAGATATTATTGGTAAACGGATGGAATTAGTACTCATGACTCATTAATCGATCAGTATCAAGAGAAGTAACCTATATGTTTACCCGCGAAGCTACATTTTCGCGGGTGTTAGAGTTCTTAGTGAGTGTCAAAATGTTTATCAGCCATCTGCCTTAGCTGCATAATTGGCTTATCTCTAACTGATACCAGCAGAACCATCTTTTCATGTCTTCCTCTCTCAATGACCAGATCTCACAGCCATAAAGGAGGACGGAGCGGACTGATGAGCAGTACAACCGCCCTTTGGTCGATAGCCGAATATAAGGCTCTATGTACCAATAAAAATTACATACGCAACAACCAACTGCAGTTCAATGCAGTCGGCGACAATAGACCACGCCTATTGTAAATATGAGGGAGCCAGTGATACTACTTGCTTGCTCCAACCTTGGCAGGTAGGGCGGGTTTCGAACTCATGATGGAAGTCAAGCGCCTAGACCAATGTAGCCATCGCCCCACTACGTTAATACCAACAACAAGCAATTTATCTTCTCTTTTAAGCAGATTTTTCACATAATTTTTTTTTATTATAGCTTGACTTAACACCGGACCATGTGCTTAGTCGGCGAGAATCCTAACCACTGTGACACCGTCGCATGCATTTCAAAAAAAAATCTAGACAAAATTCACTCACCTGATGTCGTTGACTCATTGTTTTCACTGTATCTCGAACGACGAACAATTTGAAAGGTCGTAGAGTACTACTACTAAGCAGAGAAAAGTTAGGATCAGTTGACTCGCCAAAATCACCACCTTCTTGTTGCAGCATATCCTCCTGGTGTGATTCTTCACTTTTATCCTGTGATTCAAACATAGAAGACCACATTTGTTCTTCTAAACTGGCCTCTGTTGTCTTAGGACTAGTAGCAAGAGGAGGAGGAGGGGGAGCAGAATTTGATTCACCATAGTTCGATGCATCTACCTGATGATCAGTAGGCGATTGCATCGGTGGCTTTGATTCTTCTTGATAATAATTAGTTGATTTTGGCATTGCAAAGTGATGAAAAGCTTTGAATTTTTTATTTGTTGCAATACTTGACAAATCAGTTGGTAACCATAATTCAAACTCGGCTTGCCAATTCTAAAATTCAAATCAATGAAAAAGCAAAGACTGTCTACATTTCCATGAGGAGCCCCAGTAAAAACAACAGTTAAGTCAATAAACATTTTTGAAATCTTTAAATATTCCCATTTTTAGTATTAGAACAAGACATATAGGCGAACAGTATTGTTGTTTTCAATTAGATCTTCTTCCTCAGGCTTTACTCTGATTCACACAGATTTATATATAAAACAGAATTTAACCAATGACAGTGATTTTGTAGATCAAATAATAATAATGTGGTAAATGTTTTGAATGTAGTTAATAACGATGATTATAATGATAACAAAATAGTGATAATAAAGTTTGCGCAGGTGTGGCGATAAGAATAACGAAGGTTACAGGATTTCATCATGAGCTGACATCAGTGAGAGAACCATTGGAAAACCCGCTAGGAGTAATGGACAGCTGTTTCGTCCTAGTTTGGGACTCTTCATCAGTACACACCCACCAGGATTCGAACCCAGGACCTTCTGGTTACAAGGCGAGCCAGCTCGTATACCATTAAGCCACTGGGACTCAATCCAATGACGCTTGAATTCTAACTTCTGCCAATTCACGATATAGCGCAACCGCTAGCCAAACTAGGACGAAACAGCTGTCTGGCAGTACTCCCAGGTTTTCCAATGGTTCTCTCTAACTGATGTCAGCTCATGATGAAATCCTGTAACTAATCAACCAAATCCCTACAAACCAATACTTGAATAACGAAGGTAGTAATGTAGATAATTTAATAAATAAATTTGATCAAATCTTAAAGGTTACGTAATACTAAACGTAGGTGAAGTGGACAGATAGATAATCGAAGTTTAAATAAATATCATAAAAAGTACGAAGGAGATGGGAAACAAGAAAGGGTGGGAGGGTTTTGATTAGAATTTACCTCCAAGGACAAGGGGAAAGGCAAAAGTAGAACAAACTTCTTTTGTTGTATGCAGAGACTATGATTGTTCCCTCGAATTCCCATCGCCTGTTCGGCTATGTGTTTAGCAGGTGGGTTCGAATTCCGTTCGAAAGGTTATTTGATGGAATGCGATAGATAACTTTGAAGGCACTATTTTTGTCTACTTGGTGACCGAGCCAAAATAGAACTTCTTATAGATTTTGATGTGGTTTTGTTCTCTGAGCTGGATGGTTAGTTAGATTTTATTTGACCTTTTCCGAACCATGAAGGAAGACGCTCATCAATTGGTTCGTTAAGCTGTGTAGTTGTTCGCCCTATATAGCTCTCTCCACAGGAGCAACTAAATTTATAGATACACATAGAAGTGGCACAGCTAGGTAGCTTGTTCTTTCACTAGAGCAATCATAATTGGCCGGTTGGAAAATGACAAATAAAGGGTGGCGGGAGTATAAGTTCGTTTTATCGCTCTTGATAATCTCAGATGTAAAGCTTTGCTAGCAACGTCCCCGTTAAATTGCCTATTTACAACTATCATTTATCAGTTGTCTTATAGAGTGAAATGCATCAGAATTTCAGAATAAACGCCAAGCTTTGTATGTTTATTTACGAAAGCGTGTCGGCGATTAATACCTCCCCAGTTCGCCCCACCCCGTGATCATATACACATGACGAAAAAAATACCACAAACAATAACTATATCCAAGTTAATACTACAATGTACACAGCGAAACTCTCCACGCTATCTAGTCACAGTGACACCTTTCTGCGTGCTACAGTGAAATAAAATTCTTGAATGCCGAAAATCGAAGACAAGCAACAATAAGCAATATTTTAATTGAATTTTAGATTTTCTCGTCGACTGATTGGACCAAAGTGCTCGATCCCAGGTTGACATGTCGGATTATTGTGCAGATGCTTCGACGATTTCTGGGCATTTGATTAGAATTTAAGTTATGGATGGTGACTACAAGTGGAATCCAGGATGCGCATTTCGTCCTATCAATCAGCAAATTAAAATTTAAGTGTCCAGACATCGTCGAAGCATCTGCACAAGAAGCCGACATGTCAACCTGAGACCGACCACTTCGGTCCAAAAAATCGACGGGAAAATCTAAAATTCAATTAAATAATTAATATGACCCGTTGCACAGGAGGTGGCTCTCGTGGCCCAAGTGGTCTAGTGGATAACGCCTTGGTGTTCGGAACTATGGGTACTGGGTTCGAGTCTCAGTGGGAACATCATCGCTCACTGAGAAATGCAGGTATATCCGGCTGACGAGTCCCAAACAAGACGAAATGCGTGTTATCCTGGATCCACTGGTAGTCACCATCCACATATTAAATTCTAATAATCAATACTCTTATCGGCTACTTAGAGAATTGCTGAGTTCAGCTGCTGGCACCGGTATGTTACAGGTCATGAGCCACATTTATTGTGTGACCACATTGCTATGACCCAATTGCCTTAGCTGAAGTAGCTAGCTGGCGAGGGATTCGAACCCAGGACCCAGTGCTTGAGCCAATGAGCTACATCCCCAGATGTTTTAATGATAGAATAAACAGAGAAGTTAATAGTGCATGCGCTAGAGTCTTTACACAACGCTACAAATTACCAAATTTAATACCGGCATTTTACGATAAAATGAAAACAGTGGGCGTTTGATCTACTGTACGTAACCTTATAGCCTCCAAAGCCTCAGGATGGTCGGGGGTGGGTATCTTGCGTTGCGGGTTGGCCACCCCTACGTACACCTCTTAAAATGCTCCCATATGACCGGGCGTCTTACATAGCCTCTCCTGAGGAAGTCCTACTCACTGCCTTCACGTGGCGGAGGTGTTTATTTCACCGAAGTGAGAGGGCAAAAGCGGATGCCCGGCGCTCTTCACCGGGTTGACTGTCCATTGGATGACAGTCTAGGGGAGATGGCTAAACCCTGATTCCAAACCTCCAACGACTGGCGGTTGAAGCTCACCGGAGCTCACCGGCAGACGTATGGACAAAGGGCTTATTGGATGTCCTGGATGTCTGGCCCCATTCAAAAAGGCGTATGAACCGGACTCCGGTCACCGGCTGCCAATGGATAGTGAACTCCCTACTCCACTCCTACTGCCTTGTAGGTCACACTTGGTTGTGTAAAGGCTAGAGCTGCACTCTCAAACAAAAGGCCGAGCGATGCTGGGGACATCACTCGTACCCAATTCCCATGAAACTCCATCAACTCTCTTACAAACATTCGAGATGTTCATGAAGCTGGCTCATCCTCCCGTAGGAGATAGCCGAAGTAAAGAAAGAAAGAAAGAAGATGTAACCTTATAACTGCAGTGACAAAAAGGCATGAGTCGACCTACACTACAAGGACCCAACCATTCGTTTACGATAAATTGCAGACTTCAGACATACACATAACTTGGATCGATTTATTTACAAGAGTTGTTTCGCAGAGATTTGATTGACTTCCATTTTGGTAACGAACTGGTTTCGGCCGGAGAACCATTGAAAACCACCACCAGGGAGTACTGGAGACAGTTTGTTTCCTCATTGTTTGGGATTCGTCAGAAGTACGCACCCCGGGACTTTCAATTTACAAGGTGAGCTTTCTGACTATTCAGTCACTGGGTTGGAATCCATTGACCTATAATGAATTCTAACCTCAGTAGTCGCGTTGTGTACCACGAATTAGCAAAATTAAAATGCCTACAGCATAGGTCACTGGATTCCTTCCATCCCAGTGGCTGGTCGATCTACGAACTTGCCTTGTAAACTAATGGTCTTGGGTTAGATCTCTGGAGAGGTTGTTGATTCCCAAACAAGGAGAGAAAGCTGTCCAGTACTGACCTGACGGTCTTCAATAGTTCTCTAACTGCAGTCAGTCAACCAGTGATGAATTATGAAATAGATCGATTCATACAAATTTTACATTCCTCAAAGTGGGGATGTGGTGAGAGCAGGCTGCTAGCCAATTGGTAGACATTAATCTACGTCAATGTCTAAGTCACTAATATTGGCCGTGAGAAAATATGAACAAGGCTGATTCAACAACCAATCACAGCAGACTTAAACGTGGGCAAATATGATTCGCAGATAGATGGCTCCACTTTCCGAGAAACTCAGAAACAACCAGTCAGAAGACTGCGCTTATCTGCTTAACTTCCGAGAAATAACCAGAAGACTGCGTTTGTCTACTTGAATAAGCCATAATAATGTATGTGAAATATATATAAGTACGTGCTGATTTCCGTAATAAAATGATCTGTTGCCGGCCCTTGTCTTGTGTTCTTACAGGGATATACCACCAAAACAAATGCAATACTAAGACGTCAGCTGTGGTTATACACCCACCCATAAGGTCTAATCTCTGACATGGATGTGACAACTTGTTTGAAATATGAAAGAAAGCAAACAGAAATCAATGTGAAGGCAAATAAATTTATGGATTTATTGACGATTCTGGTATCACCACTCTTAGATTTCTTTTTATTTTAACTGTATTTCAGTCAATATATGTCTGTCTGTTTTCGACATCGAACTTTGCACCGATGTGCGGCAATTCAAGTCGCCACACTCCATGTAGCACACAAATCAACAGAAGAAATTAGAAGAAATGTATAATAGAGACAGTAAACAGAGATGTGAGACAAAGGAATAGTGATAACCAAGAACAATATGGTTTCATCGGAAATCATAAGTCACAAGGAGTGGATGCATCTGCGCTAACAACTGAGAAGAATTTTGAGCCATATCACCAGTTGTTTTCAACCACTGGTTTTTACCGTCCCGAGGACCCCAACCAGATAGGCAGTCTACACTTTCCTACGTGGATGGTTTAAACTAACTGTTGTAGATTTCACTGACTGGTGAAGGCATGTTTTGGTTCGACCGCCACTAGCTAGCTCTTTTCCAGCCTGACCCTATGTCAGCTAACATTGACCGTCGAGGAAGGCGATGACTAGGCGTGCATGCGTAACATATGTCCTAAACCATCACAGTCGATGTACCTTCACAGCCTCGTCGATTGATTAACTAAATGTTACTCAACAGCCACCTGAAGTTGGTATTGAGTCACGCTTGTTGTGTAAGAGCTAACGCTACAACCTGGCCGCCTAAACCCCAGTAAATGGAGGACTTGAACCCGTGACTCACTGATCGGAAGTCGAGAACCTCCACCAATGATTTACAGCGAGTTAAAGCACCACATCAATCAGCAACAATGTAATTCCCACATTTAAACAGGGCTGATCATTCGTTTAATGTTGTACAATAATCAGGAATATATTCCGTGTATGAGAACTTTCCTAAAGTAGAGTGGTTAGATTTTACATCAAACGGAAGTAAACGACTAAACAAAAATGACGTAGTTTATTTTGACTTAGAAAATCTGAGGGAACACATGCGCGTCAACCTGTAGGCTATCTGCTTTCCTTACTTTGCTTAAAAGGAAAAAACAGCAAAATTCCTCTACTTAGCAGGCTAACACAATTCTCGAACAAATAATGCTAATAAGCTTGAAACACGCTAATATGTAATAGAATAAAGCTTCTGAGAACATACCTGTATCGTATTGATCGGTACGATGACGAGTACTCTTTGAGCTTGACAAAAACGAAATAATATGTCAAGAAATCCGATAATTTGAATAGTTTTACCCAAACCCATACTATGCGCTAAGATACAACCGAATCCTTCGGTTGTTTGAAATCGTTTCACACTTTCAACTACATTGTCGTATAAAAAGCGTATACCGCTAACCTGTAAAAAAGAAGTAAAAAAATTGGAAACTATGAGAAGTAAATATGCGCCAACCACACACAGACACAGACACACATACACGATCCGGATTCCATTCCCGGCCGCCAAACACCTAAACCGCATTTAGCTGGTAGTAGGCTTGGTAAATAGAGAAGGTTCAGTGTGAGGCTGGCAACCTGACGGCATAACAATAACACAACCGCTACAGAAGTCATAAAATTCACGTTCGGAGTGCAGACTGTGAAACAATCTTAAAAATAACTATTTGTTCGAATTATGAATTTAGATAAAGCAAATAGAAGACGTAATTTATCTGAATCGTGTAACATAAGCTATTTGCGCAACACATTTCGAACAATCTGTCTGTCTCTGTCTGGATTCAACATAGAACTTGGCACCGAAGTGCAGCAGTTCCAGTCGCCACCTTCCAAATAGCACACAAAGGTAGACAAGAAGATGAGTGAAGAGAATCAATAGAGTTTCACAAGTATAGGAGCGAAACAGAATGGGTAATGGTAGAAAGAAATATGAAAGATTACAGAGACTGAATACATCTGCGCCGGCAATTGACAACGATTTTGAGCCATGTCACCTATTGTCTCCAGCCATTGATTCCTAGAGTCCCGAGGGCCCCGACCCGGAAGTCTGCATCTCCCTACCTGACTCAGTTTAACTATCAATGATTTCATGGATTGATGAGGCCATGTTTTTGTTTGGCCACCAATTACTCTTTTCCAACCCGCACCTATATCAGCTAGTAATGCCCGTCGGGGGAGGCCATGGTTAGGCATGCGCAGCACGTGACCTAGCCATCTCAATCTATGCAACTTTATAGCCTCGTCGATTGATTTTCCCTCTTTGCCCAACACTCTACGCCTAACGTCAACATTACTTACCTTATTAAACCACCTAGCGTGAGAAAGAGATCGTAGACATCGATGATCGAAAGCAGTCAACCTTTTCATGTCTCCAACTCGTATTGGCCATGTTTCAGAGCCATAGAGAAGGACGGAGCGAACTGCTGAGCAGTACACACGTCCCTTGGTTGATAGCCGGATGTCACGCCTACGCCAGAGGTGGTGTAAGTCAGCGAAAGCAGCTCGAGCTTTTTGGATCCGTGCTGAGATTTCATTGCCAATCAGTCCGCCTATCACTAAGCTAGGAGTTGACGTAGTCCAGTCCTGTAGCAACATCTTACATTTTCCAGGGGCGAATCGCATGCCAAACATACGAAGATTGCTGCTCAAGGGGTTCAGAAGACTCTGCATTTTGTCAGCATCCTCCCCTAACAGGACTATGTCATCTGCATATTCTAAGTCCATTAGATTATTCCCTGGTAACAAGTCGATTCTTAAGTCATTACATTCAGTTAAGGATACTTCCATCAGCATATCTATGATGAAGTTAAACAGAAATGGGAAAGTGGACATCCCTGTCGGATACCACTGGTTGTTACCAATTCAGATGACAATTCCCCATAAGCCTTTACACAGCTACATGAGTTTGAATAGAGTGCCTTGATTAGTGCAATGTACTTTCTTGGCAATCCCTTCACAGTCAGACATTGCCATAGTACCTTTCGATCCACGGAGTCGAAGGCCGCCTTCAAGTCAAGAAATATGGCAATTGTTGGACGCCGAAAAGTGTGTCTATGTTCTAGAATCTGTCGAAGAGTGAAGATTCGAACAATCTGATCACAAACACGGACTTGTCATAGGAATATATATATATATATATACGTAATTAATAAAGAGTTAAGAGGTGAGAAAATAGACCACTTAGGTCAAGTTAAAATGATAATTATAATGAAGATCACTAAACCAAATAACAGAGGTAATGGTTCATTTGCCCTGGCTGGTATCAAAACAAAGTTTACCAAGAAAGGAAAGTTTAGTGTGATCACGAATTGTTGCTTAGAACGCATAAACGTGATTTAAACTTAGGAATTGACAGTTACAGGCCCTACAAACTTTAGGATACGCCTTAAATACGTTTTATAGATAGGTTTAAAAGATGTGCCTGACATTAATTTTATCTCCTGTCTCTATAAAATGTTTCACAATAGAGGAGCTAAGTCTCCTGTTCTCACTATCAATAGGCTCTGAGGATACTATTTGCTTGTGGAGCCATTCAGGAATATGCTCTGAAGTCACCCCTTACTTGAAGGGAGCGATGAGTCCTCCCTATGTGTGTGTCAACACGTACATTCAAATTGGTGAATACAGTGGAATGTGACATTATTTTTCGCATGCTCAAAGAGCTTAGATGGTTGGATATATTCGCTTCACATTCTCAATTATTATGATATTAGCTGCATAAAAAGTCTTTTTAACAGCAGTGTTCAGTCTTTGTCTGGTCATCAAGCTACTTCGATCACCCATATGGGGTAGCTTGATGTACACGTCTTTCTTAACGGCGAGTTGGAGAATGGATCTTGATGTTTCGACTACTTTATATCTCCTGATGAACTTGTCTGGATAAGTGTTATCAACCAGAGTTTGTGTCAACTTTCTTTCTTCTTCATCAAGTGTGTGTTCAGTGCATATTCGTTGGATTCTACTGAAGAGGCACCTTACCAAGACTCTTTTGTACCAAACAGGGCAGAAACTGTGGTAATTAAGATATTGTCCTGTCCAGGTAGGTTTTCTATAAATAGATCTTTTTATTGACCCATCAATCCATCAGTCGACTAAGCAATATTTCTAGGAAAGATAAACAATTATCTTCCTCTTCTACAGACAGATTTAAGTGATATGCTGTTGTGAATTTCATTCATTCGATTTAAAATTGAAGTGGCAGAACAAGACTTATCACTGATGATTACAATATTATCTACATACCTTCTAAAAAGCGGCACATTTTCGATTAAATCCTCCGATAAATTCTGAATGTACGACATATAGAAATCTGCTATAAAAAGGGGCCCTAACGGAGTTCCCATAGCAAGACAATCGACTTGGCGGAAACAATCGCCTTATTATCACTATTTAAAACGCAAATTTGGTATATTACGACCACCAAGAGATGTACAACACAAGAGTATGTATAAAGAAGATCAGCAGAGAACAACTGAAGGACATCATTCAGAAAGTAATAAATAATATTTTTCAAGATCACTCAACAATCCTTAATTCATAGTACTTTCGGAAAGTGAAAAGAGAAGGAAGTTGCACCATGTTTGCCATTGATCACGATTTTATAGCCATATCTGATAGATAACGTGTCGAGCCACCGATTTGAACTATCCTTCCAACCCCAACCAGAGAGTCGTGATGTCCTGACCTAACACGCCAAGTTCATACGCTGACCGCCTCTCCACTTTTTTCATCCTATCCCAACTCAAACGAAAACAGATCGATACGGAAGCCGCCGGGATGACATCAGCAGCATATTTCAAAGCCACCAAAACCAGTGTCTCCAGATGAACACACTGAATGGACTGTGACCTCCACCGTGCCTACCAAATACACACTGTCGGACCTCACACGATGATACCACCAAGAGAAGGCAATTCTACGGAGACAGCAAGGATCGAATACGTAGAGTAGTCGCCTCACGACCTCACCTCGGAAAGGTCAAGTCTCACAGACGTAGAGCGAAACTGCGCGTACCGAAACATCATAAACCCGACCTTTGACAGCCACGCAGATGCTAGAAAGCTTGGTTTGCAGCTTCGTTATCTTAATAATGAATTCACAGTCAAACTACAGCTTTAACATTCAATCATAAATCAGTTGCACCAGACGCTAATGACTATGGGGGATTGAACTGGGAGTCAGCAGTAAAAAGATAATTAAACAAAAGTCAATAAAAGCTTTACTTGCACACCTACATGATGATGTCCAATTTCGACTTTTTATTTCAAGATTCTGAAACTGTAATATTACCACTACTTTGTAATTAATAACAAGTAGTCTACTCCCCATAAACTAAAAACCAAAGGTTCCATTACCTATCAAACAGACGATTTTAATTTTCACGAGTTAGTTTGTAGGGATTTTGATTTGCCCCAAGTATGACTATGGATTGATATTAATTACAGAACTATTGAAGACCATCAGGGAGCACCGAACAGATGTCTCAGTCTTGTTTGCTGAGGAGCCCCAAACTAGGATGAAACAGTTGCCCAGTAATTCGCCCTAATAGTTTTTCAATGGTTCTTCAACTGACATCAATCTGTGGTAACACGTGAGATGGTTTTTCTAGCAGTGTCAGCAATAAGTAAGAATCACGTGATATATATATATATATATATATTATCATTAAACTTGTTGCTTTGAGTAGGGAAAGATTGAAAGGCGAACATGAATTAACACAGATGAGTGTATGGCTGAAAGCAACTAGCGTATAACTTGGAATCCTATGGATACATTTCCTAAAACCATTTAACTAGTACCTTTTGACAGTGGAATTTAATCTTAACAATTTTTTGAGTCACACAAAGGCAGTTGTACGACAATGCTGCATGCCAAGTAATCCGTAACGGGAAACTTACGGAATCCTTCGAAGTGAGGACGGGAGTGAGGCAAGGCTGTCGACTATCGCCAATTATTTTTCTGATTGCAGTAGATTGGATAATGCAACAGACAGCAGGCATTGAGGAAACAAGCATAAAATGGAATCGCACAAAATCTTGGAGAATCTGGACTTCACCGATGATAAAAGTCTGGTTTCCCACAAACTGAAAGATATGCAAGTGAAAAGCAACAAGTTGGCAGAACAAGCATCCAGACAAGACAGGACTTCCTTCAGGTGAACATAGAGAAGACGGAAGTGATGAATATTCCTGGGCGACAACAACAGACAACAGTCAGCATAAATGGGAGGAACCTGGAAGAAACAACCTCCTTCACCTACCTGGGAAGCATCGTTTCAACTACAGGCGGGTGGAACTCACGAGGATGTCAAAGCCAGAATCGGAAAAGCAAGACAAGATTTCATTACTCCCACCAAGTCTGTGTGGAGATCAACAATCAACACTCGGCATGAAAAATAACATCCTGATTTTCAACTCCAATGTGAAGTCAGTGCTACTATACGGATCAGAGACTTGGAGCGTCATAAAGAGTACCTCAAACAAACTACAGACCTTCATCAACAGCTGTCTTCGCTCAATACTACTCAAGATCAGATGACCGGCCAGAAAAGATCGGCAACAAGGATCTCTGGAAGAGAATGAACCAGGAACCGATTGTGCAACAAATAGGCAGGAAGAAATAGAGATAGACTGGCCATACTCTGAGGAAACCAGCAAGTGACATCACAAGATAAGCCATCGCTCGTGTGGAGCCTGAATAGAAAGCGGTGAGTTGGTCGTCCAAGGGTGACTTGGAGGAGATCATGTGAAGAGGAGATGAAAGCGTGTGTGGCAGAAAACCGAGCGCAATGGAGACGCGCGGCTGAAGCCCTATGTTCCCCTAGGAATTAAAGGAAATATTAATAATAAAGGTAAGATACGAGAGAAATTTTTAAAATGAGATCGACCCAACATATTGATATTTTTTTAGCATTTCACTCACCTGATGTGGTTTAATCACTCTGGCCATTTGAGGGCATAATACAATTTCTGGTTCTTCCTCTTGATCACGTGATGTATTAATAATAATCTTGCCATCAATGTCAGCCAAATTATCGGCGTCTTGTATTTCACAGATTTCTTCTTCAACTTCCACTTCTGGTTCTTCTTCTTCTTCTTCTCCTTGTCCTTCCTCTTCTTCCCCATCGCTGACTTCAATGACATTAGAATCACCGAGCTATAATGAAATATTTGAAATAAAAACTAATTACCTTCGTTGAAGGTACATCCAACTGACGAGTCTCAGATAGGAAGAAAGGTGCATCCTGCAATTCCAATTCTAGTCACTGTTTATTGAAGTTCCTATGGCGACTGGTTTTCAGGAGTACGATCGCTAGCCTCAAGTCAAACCTTCCCACCTTTTCAAGGTTTAGGACAAGCTATTCAACTAGCTCGACACTAATGTCATGTCAGTGCTCCTATGTAGTTCATAAACTTGACGTCGACGCTAAGGAAAGCATTTCGGTCAACAAAACTGCCTTCGATCGACACCGAAGATCGGAAATGAACCCTCACAACGAAACAACTAATAATCCATCGCCCCAGAAATATGCATATGAGAATGGAAATGAAAGCTGAGGAAACCGTCGAGTGGTATCACAGATTAGGCAAGTGCTCGAGTAAAATCTGAATAGGAAACGGCAAGTTGGGTATCCGGAGATAACGTGGAGGCGATTGTATGAATCGGGAATGAAAGCGTATAGGGGATCGTGGAGCCAGTTAAAATGGCTGCAGAGGACAGGGTGAAATGGAGACATGATGTTGAAGCCCTATGTTTCACTCGGAACCCAAATGAATTATTATTACATGCTTAACAATGGTTTCATCAGATGAAATTAGAATATTATGGCGACATAAGTACACCACTGGTTGATAGGAGTACTTGGAAACGACCCATGTCCAACCATATTGAGGTGATCGAAAAACCATTGCTTATGATATGAAACAGATCGAGTAACACGGTCTAGAGTTTGGGTATTCACATAAAACCATGGTGGATTTTCAACACGAAGTGTAATTTGTGTGACTCAATCACTGGAGTAAATGCTAGTCCACTGAACAGATGATTCAGTGGGTTTGTCTACTTGCCCCTCTCAATTTGCAGCGAGCACATCAAGCATGGAGCGAGCTTCAGATTACATTTATACACAGTAACTTTTGCTATTTTGAAGGAGTTTTGTAAATAATCAAAATAACCTGTAAAACCCAACTCCTAGGATGTGCGTAAACAGCTGAATAACAGAGACGGCTTATGAACGAACTGGTACAGCTGAGGGTGGGTAGACTTCGATCCACCTCTCAAAATACTGTCATGTTACCAAGCGTTTATACCCTCTGCTAGGTAAATCTTATTCACTGACTTCCCGTGCTGGAAGTTTTCCTCACACAGAAGTGAAAAGACGAATACCAACATTTGGCGCTTACAGCCAAACCGGTTGACATTTGGTATACTCAGGGGAGATGGAAAACTTTGAATAACAACCTATGTTGTATTTGGACTCCAGAATTCAAAAGGTTCAAATGGTGTATGAACCTGTGGCGTGTCTTTTGATTCCTATAATGTATCAAGTTTGTTTCAGTAATAATAATATAACTTTACAAGATATAAAATAAAATACTACCGTGAATTGTCAATAAATTTACCTGTTCATCATCAGAATCACCTAGCAGAATTGCATCATCCTGTGACTGACCCATACGCAGAGATTGTAAATCACTCCATGTAGAACCAAAAAGTGAAGCAGAAGCCGATCTGACGGCACGTTTTTGCTCTGATTCAGCACCAGAACATGAATTGTTAAAAGGTGATTGCTTCCCCCCGTTAGTGAGAGCATCTACTAAAGGAGCATGTTTTGAGTCTTTTTCGGCTATTTCAACTGAACTTTGTTGACTATCAATAGTTGAACCATTATCTAAGGAATTGCATTCTTCCGCATCAGATTCATATTTTCTTTCTTTCTTACAAAGGGGACCAGTTTCTTGAAGTTCTGATTCAAAATTACCATCGGAACACTTCAGAAGACCAGGAGATGTTGATGAGTCTGCTTTGAAGAGAAAATGTGTTCTTAAAAGCTACAAGCAAATGCAGAGCAGGGGAGCCACGCACGACTGAAGTGCAGAATAATATGTATCTCGATATGGTGAAAAGCGAAACTAGACAAACGAAATGTCCAAAGTTTGGTGCTTAATACCTTAGGTATCTATACTTCTGTGTAATAGAATGCCGTCATAATATCGTCTCAATGCAAACCAATCTTGCAACGTTACCTAACATTTGATGGGGATAAATCATATGCTAAACATACCAATTCAGAAGACTGAATTAGTTTTCATCTAGAAGAACGATATCCGCATAGTCTACATGACTATCCCCCGGTAACAACTCAATCCCTAAGTTACTAAAGTCTATTAGTCACGATGCGATCAAAAAATTGGAAGACAATAGGTATCCCTGATATACGCCAATGGTTGTCATCAGATGACAACTTTCTATAGGCTTTTACACAGCAATATGAGTTTAAGCAGTGCCTTGATTAGTGTGACATACTCAACACTTCACAGCCAGACACTGCTACTGCACCACTTGGCCAACGGAGTCGAATGCCACCATCAAGTCATGAAGTATGGCAAGCGATGGACACAGGTGAGTATACCTATATTCTAGAATTTATCGGAAGTGAAGTGGTAGAGCACGTTGACCGCTTCACTTATTTGGGAAGTACCATCAGCCGGTGCCAACGGGCTGATCTCTGACGAAATCTCAGCTGAGTACGGATACAGGGGGCTCGTTTCGCATTTGCCAGTATACGCCGACTCTGGCGTAGACGAGATGTTCGACTATCGACCAAAGGGCGGGTGTACTGCTCATCAGTCCGCTCCGTCCTCCTTTATGGTTGTGAGACTTGGCCACTGAGAGTGGAAGACATGAAAAGACTAGCTGTCTTTGATCATAGGTGCCTGCGCTCTATTTCCCGTGTAAAGTGGCATAATAAGGTGAGCAACATTGAGGTTAGGCGTCGAGTGCTAGGTAAACAGGGGAAATCAATCGACGAAGTCGTGAAGTTACAAAGACTGAGATGGTTAGGACATGTGTTACGTATGCCAAGTCATCGCCTCCCTCGACGAGCTATGTTAGCGGATATAGGGTCAGGCTGGAAAAAAAGCTAGCGACGGTCAAACAAAAACTTGGCATCAGTCAATGAAATCCACAACAGTTGGTCTAAGCCACGTAGGAAGGTGTAGACTTCCAGGCTGGGGTCCTCGGGACGGTAAAAATCTATGGTTGGAAACAATTGGTGACATGGCTCAAAACCGTTCTCAGTGGCCAGCGCAGATGCATCCACTCCCTGTGACTTACGATCTCCAATGAAACTGTTTTGTTATTCTTTATTCTCCTTTGTCTCACACCTCTGCTCACTGTTTCTATTATGCTTTTCTTGTACTTTCTTCTCTTGCTTCGCGTGCTACACGGAATGTGGCGACTTGAACTTCCGCACATTTGTGCAAAGTTCTATGTCGAAAACAGACAGACAGACAGAATTTATCGAAGGGTGAATATATATGATCAATTGTGCCACCAAAAGCAAGTAAAATGGAGAACTTTGTAAACAGCCATAATAGCAGAAAATAAGGAAAAGGACAGTAGAACTTACATATGGATGTTTGACTTTGAGTATGGAGATGTGGCTCAGTCGCCTAAATAAATTCCTTTCACTCGACGTACCGCCAGCGCCTGATTCGGCTTGGGCATCTGGATGGCATAAGCAGCTCACAGTGCAGTTCATAGCCTTTTGTATACATACACTTCGGTTGAGTTCCAGCTAACTGCATGTGTCTCAACCAGTGAGTTGCGATCTCCCATGGTCGAAAATAGCATTTGGTGTCACTAGTCGTAAGGAATCTGGTGCAGCGTTTCTTCGTATGTGCAAAGTCTTATACCCTAACAATTCACTCTTCAAACTCTAAAGAACTCAGCACAGTTCACACAGGTATAGGCTGCTTGGAATAGGTGGTTTCTTTTATACTGCTGAATCTATTTTCCCAATATACTTAGAATTATTTCCATATCGGACATCACTGTGTATGTTGCCCTTAGTAATGCAACTAGTTTCAGTGGCCATTAGAGTGAAACACACTCTATATGTGGATAATGCATTGTGGTAAAATGTATGTTAGCTATTTCATTTTCGATAAGTTAATCTTATAATCGCAATGCACAACAGATCATGATGTAGGACATAGATCAATTTGAAACGCGATAGAATGTTCGACTATCCACAAAATCTGTAAATACGCAGGCATTACTTAAGGTAATTACAGCTATGCACAAATGGATAGTAGTACATATTGAGGTTATAAACAGCAAGTGACTGGAAATCTCCGGTAACTATAATCAACACAATTTTAAAAGTCTTCATGTGATTGGGTTGAAACGGGGGTAGCAACTCAAGCATTTAGTACATTATTTACACGAACACAGATAAAATGAACCAACAAGTCAAGGAAACAACTAACCAGGAACACTCAATTACACCAATGGTAGTCATCCTAATGCATAAATCTTCACAGAAAATCAACACAGAAAAACGTTGAACTTTCATTAAGATGCAACAGTCAAAGGAGTATGAATTTGAGACTAAATCTAAGTGTCAAGAAAATTAGACACCACTCATAAGGTATTTTTCCATCCCATGTCTGTCCGCCAAGTTTATGTATCGCTGAAGTGGTCACTATCGTAATGTCCAAGGTCTACAATTTACTACTACATATCTACATATAGTACATATAATAACAATAATCGCTTTACTCCGAACAGCATTTCTGATACAATACGGAATATTCAACATGCGAAACGCCTACAAGACTAGGTTGCGCGTGTTCAGAAAGCATATAAGTCTCTTAGCTCCCTAATGGCGAAAGAATTAACACTCGTTGACATGGGTGATTCCTGTTTGCGTTAATATATATTTCGACGTACATAAATGCCGTGCATTGCATCACGATATTCACATAGTAGAAGTCAAATAGTTACATCGAATGAGTCTTAGGATTCAATTCTACACAATAAAATGAACAAGGCTATTAGAACATGTGTATCTAGTACATTGGAGTAGGTGGATGCCAGTAATGCCATCAACAGGCGGTGGAGGGGGGGATAACAGGACACTAGGTACTATAACACGAAACAGCTTGACAGTGAAAGTAGGATAGGTCTCATATATTGCAGTTTATTTAATAATTAGTTTTCAGTAAAGTAAATGACAAATCTCTAGTTTTTAGACAAGAGTACAGAGACTAGTGAAATCGGATAGCGGAAAATTTATGTACAAAAGGCCATACTAATGACAGGAATACTAAAATTAACTTCCAGAAATTGCTTACCATTTAGTAGAAAATCGATATTGGAGAAACGGACTTGGTCTCCTTTCTCCTTATTAACAAGTCGCTGTCTTCGTTCCATTTCAGCCTTTTGAGCTGCTTTGGCTTCTTCGCTAAGACCATCCTCTTTAACTTTCCTATAATGCAGTTTCACATTCAGAAAACATGTACTAACTTGATATTGCGTCTTTCAAACGTTTGTTTGCGTCGGCTTTTACGAGAATTTGATATTCCTGGGCTACCACCAGGCTTTTCATCCTGATTTTCACTGTCAGATAATACAAGTTCACCATCTTCAACCCTAAATTGACCTTTAACAGCTAACCCGCAAGTAAGTTAATAGCATATGCTTACATTGTTCAGGTTGATCTTCACTCATGGGTGCCAGTGAACCTTCTTAAACCATCAATATATCCCAAAAAAAATAGAATAGTCAAAATGAAGCAACAAAAGCTAAATAAGTAAGGTTGAGAGCTAGAGGCACCAAACCCAATTCATTTAAACAACACAGGGTGCCATTTACACAGTAACAGATTACAAATGTATCCATTTTGACCACTAACCAATTAGTATTCTTTTGAAAAAATGTCATTCGATGATATTTTCCACTAACGGGGAGTTTTGTGAACAAGGTCTTTTCATTGTTCAATAGTGTTTCCATTTTCAGTAAACTTGCAAGACAGAGGGTACAGTTGAAACATAGCATCTCATTACATATGTGGCTAAGTGAAAACTTAGTTATATGTCTTTGATTCCGTGACCTAAGGACAAACTTTGGCAATTAGACTAATAATGGAACAAGGGAGTAAATGAAGTAAAAAGTTGTTTGAGTGACTTGACATGAATATTGGGAATGGTTTGGGCTTGAAAAGTCATCACTTAATACTACTGTATAACATTGTGTGATTTGGCAAATAAAATCTTATCTATGATGCAGGAACCTTTACCTTACAATCAAGAAGTGTGGACAAAGAAATCAGATTGGTTTACGCTAGCTTGCAAAGACGGACGGAAAATAATTCACTATTAGCCTACAGCTTCCAACATTTAAATATGGTTGTTGAGTTTCACTATTTAGGTTGGTTGACAAATCTGAAGGCATGCAACTACTACTCACTACTGGCTGGACTTATATGTCACCTTGGTTGAAAAATTATTCTGTAAATAGTTTTGATAAAATTGTGCTATATGTTAACTGGATTGATGGGAATTCTCATTTCCTGACTATTTATGTTGGTGTCCGCGTCATGTGATCCGAATGCGATACACTCTCAGCAGACCTTGGCGGCCTGCTTAAATCTTGGGCTACCAGTAACCTTAAACATTACAAATCATATTGCATCTAATTTCTCATTTCTAATTGATATTTTAATCAATAAATCTTATTCAAATATGACCTCAAATCGGATTATTTATTCTCGTGAATATCTAATATCTCTAAAACCTACTGATCTGCAACTCCATAAAAAAGACAAGAAAAAGCATCATTCCGGCTGGCAGAGAGCATTAAAAAATACCCCTATTCAATTCATGACTGTTCCCGCAATTATGAGTACCAATTGTCGCTCCCTGCCGGCTAAAATTAACTGTCTTCAATCGCTGGTGTCTTCCATTATATATCATAATACTGGGATCATATCACTTCAAGAAACATGGCTTCATGATCTATATGATGACAATCTAGTGTATCTAAATAATTTCAAACTATTCAGACAAGATCGGTGTAGTTCCAGGAAGAAACGCGGTGGCGGTGTTGCCATCTTCATCAATTCACAATGGTGTACGTCTAATAATGTATGTTTCAAATTCTCTAGTGACAATATTGACTGTCTCACCGTTTGTCAAAATACAACTACATTTACATCTCGAACATGTATATTGCTCCTGGATGCAACTCCACAGAATTATCTTTATTTGCGGATGAATTTACTTCCCTTGCTGCCACCTCCTTCGGAAATTCCTTGTCTATAGTTACTGGTGATTTTAATTCTAGTGACCACAGCTTCCTAATTTCACTTGGACACGATAATATTGTCAACTTCCCGACTAGAATGGACAACACTCTTGACCTTGTGTTTACAAACGATGCAGGAATATTTGAAGCTCGAAAAAGAGCCCCACTACTAAATTCAGATCACTGTATCATAAGAATATTGCCCAAAGTATATGGAAAGCAGCACAAAAGGGTCTTCTCATACCTTGGAAAGAAAACACAACACAGATGTTATTCCCATGACAACATACTGAACATAAGGTCCATGTTAAAAGACACAAACTGGGATCTATTTACTGAACAAGCTCTTGATAACACAATTGCCAACATAACACATTATCTTAATTTCTGTCTTGATGTTTGTTGTCCAAAAGAGACAATCTTCTTAAAATTCGATCGCTTCTCCTCTTCTCAACTCAAAAAGCTCCGCCGTGAAAAAGAAAGGTTGTTCAAAATGAAAAACAAATCTGGTGTTAAGAGAATGAACACTTTGATTAAGCTTGAATTACAAAGATTGAATGCTCTCTATAACCAGAAGTTTCTTTCATGTAAATCCCCATCAAATATGTGGAAGTTATTAAAGGAAATCACAGGTGGTAAGCAAATGTTGAATGATATTTCTGTAGATGTTAACATGCTAATGAATCCTTCATATGTATCCCAGCAAATGTTATGATTCCTAACTCAAATAGTGTAAACAATGACTGCTTCTCATATTTAACACGAATGATGTCCTCAAGTGTCTTCAATCTCTCAAGCCTACTCAGTCCCTCGGTCCTGATGGTGTTCCTGCTGTTATCCTTAAGAGTGTGCCGACATCTTGTGTTCCCCGCTAACTGACATTTTCAACGAATCGTTTTCCAAAAGTATTATACCTGAATCATGGAAAAACATCAAGATCGTTCCAGTGCCTAAATCTACAAGTGGACCTAATGTTAAGTTTAGACCCATTTCAATTACCTCACCCTTTTTGAAAGTTATGGAAAGACTTATTTTACTTAATCTTGATCCCTCTTTAAAACCTTTCAACGACCCCAACCAGTTTGCTTATAAACATAGTAGGAGTACGTTAGATGCCGCTGTCGTCCTCCACCATAGCATAGTCTCTAGTTTAGATAAAGGAGCTAAATACGTTCGCTGTGCCTTCCTTGATTACACATCTGCATTTGACTCTGTTCCCAGGTCTCTCTTGCTAAGTAAGCTTGCTGCAACACAGGCTGAAAGCTGGACAAATAAGTGGTTGCATTCCTATTTTTCTGAAAGGAAGCAGTACACCGTCTACAATGGAAAATCCTCCACTACCTCACTTACTTTAGCTGGTGTTCCTCAAGGTGCTGTTCTTTCTCCCTTTCTGTTCTCGTTTTTCTTACATGACTTGCCTCATTCTGATGTAGCCACTTTTGTTAAATATGCCGATGACCTCTCGGTTTCTATGCCTGTCAACTCTCAGTCAGATTGTTCCAAATTAAATAGCTTTCTGTCGGAAATTAGTCAGTGGTCCTCTTCAAACGGACTTAAGCTTAATCCGTCTAAATGTCAGGTAGTCAATTTCACTTTCAGACGTAAATGTGACCTACAGCAACTAGTTAGCTCACATGGCCCCACTCTCATTGACGGCACAGAGGTTGAAAATACATCTTATGTTAAGTACCTTGGGCTGAGTTTTTCCACCGATCTTTCCTGGTCTTCCCACATCTTGCTAGTTACTAGAAAGATGTTTCGCTTAACGTTCTACATTAGGAAATTTAGGCAGTCTGGCATAAACCAGTCTTTACTTTCTCAGTTTGTAAATTCTTGTATTCTACCCATCCTCCTTTACTGCTCCCCATTAGTCTTTCCTGGACTACTTAAGAAAGACTTTGCTTCGCTGAGAAGGGCACTAAAAGCTGTTAGTAGGGCAAGTGGGATATCGTTAAACCAACTGGTGAACACTATTGTAGATAGACATATTATGTCATGTAAGAAACTAGCGAATACAATATTGTCGGACCCCAAGCATCCTCTCTATACGCATCTATCTCCTTGCATTTCATCTGGAAGAACTAGAAGCAGCTACAGGAGGCTATATGCTAGGACTACCAAATACAAAAACTCCACAATACCATATCTGGCACAGCTGTTATGTGATGAGAAATCCGTTAGGTATGACACGATAAACTTACTGCGGCACTCTAACAAATAGTCCCATTAGTTTTTGTTTTCCTTTCCTCGTTACTATCACACTGTTGTTCTCATCTAGTACCACACATCAACTTTATATTTCAAATCCTGTAGTGCATTGTTTGAAATGAAATACTCTACGTTGTTTTTTTTTCTTAAATTTTAATATTTATTTATTTTATTTATTTATAACTAATTTATTTTATTTTTATTTATTTATCTTTGATTTTTAAAAATCTTATATAATTTATGAGGTAATTAGATGCAATATACTGTAATGCACGCTGAAAATTCCATACCTCTACCACAAATACTGTTTGGAATAAAGCTGTTATTATTATTATTATATTGGCTACAATGATTAACGTTTCAGATTAACTGTGTCAAAATAGCGCTATGATGAGCAAGATGGCTGGAGGGTAACGTCATCTACACAAATAGTTTACCGTATGCAGGAGCTGCACCTTTCGCCATAGTATCATCCAATGAGGACTCCACGTCTCAGGATATAGATGTAGCTATTCTCGTGTGAAGAACAGTACTATTAAACAGGTGAATGCTATCAGTACATGGAAATCGACTGTAAATGCAAACGGACCCTTCTGTGGAACAGAATTTATCGTGTAAATGTGTCTTTCATCGTATGTGTGTTTGGACGCCAATTACCGTAAGTTGAAAAGTTATCTCTAAGTGGATTTAATAAAAAATATTTACACTGATTGGTGCAGTGCAATATGGGATATGTGAATTCAATGTATAAAAATGTCTCAACTTTTTCAATATTGTGCCATTGTCTGCTTAGCTACCTGTTTGGCTAACAAATGCAGGTGGTTCTCGTGATTGTTGCAAGTGCAGTGCATTGGAGAAAGCAATCAATCGTTTAAATTTCCTTACTGTTTCACTTAGAGCATTAGTTCAGTGTACAGTAAAATTACACACATGTATTGTGTTGATTATGAGAATTGAATCTAGTTTGCTCTACTATTAATCTACCGTCCGTTACACCATTCCCACTAACACTGTAAACTTAATGCTGCAATGTTTTTGGTGAAAATGAATTTCTCCTGAAATTTTCATTTACATAAAGCAGACCAGATGCAGTGTCACGACTGAATTTCTGGATTGCATTATATGACATTGTTATCCTCATCAACAAAACAGGTCTATGTATCTTACAATATTTTATAACTTTGCTCACTAGATACTAATGAGATCATGGATCAATTTCTAAGTCATACACTTGCAATAATTCCTTTAATTTAAACGTATTTCGTATGAAGTTGATCTACAACTAATCCTGATAAGAGAATGACGTCTCAAACAGTATGGGTGTTCCAGTCCTCTAATACAGGAAAACATATGAGGTCTATTTATGCATAAGGCATCAATATAAAAACCAGCTGTAGACTAAAAATTCTTTTATTTGCACGAGAATTTTGCTTAGTATTAAATAGAATCAGTGTATTCATACCGTATG